TGAGTTTGAGTTAAACGTGGCTCGGCAGCGCTTACTTACTAGTAGGATGCTTCATAGGCTCAGCGTTCAAACATAACGTTCTGATTTTGGGTGCCTATGTACTAGCAAATAAACGGACAGTAGGAGGAAGGATAATCATCATTAAAATTTGAATGCAGGTCCGTCATCCTCAGAGTCCGAGTGGTTGCCGTCATCATCCAAGTCATCTACATCACTGTCGCAATCTTCGGGAATCACTTCATCTTCATCTTCGTCTGCGGAGTCGTCCTGGTTGAAATCATCGTGTTCATCATCCAGGTCTCTATCACATTCACCTTCGTGCCAACTTTCATCTCCGAGGTTAACATTAGCGTTGTCGAGCCCCTCCATGTTGGCTTCGAGGCCATCATCATCTGAGACTTCTCCGTGACCAACGCTGGTACTTCTGCTCCCTACTGCACGATCGGGCTGGACGATATTTGACGAGTCATATTGAACTTCATGACCGACACCTATGCCTGCGAAACGACAAAACATGTCTCTGTCGGCAAAACTACACGAAGTTATGGTAAGGATATGAGTATATAGCAAGACAAAATCTCACATATTGACATAAAATGAAGCCCAGTCGTCGATCTCTCCAGGTAGTCTTGCCACAGAGGGACCATGTCTGAGAAGCTCATCCGTGCGATGGTCAGCGAAAGCAGGAATAAGGTGGCATGCCCTGATCACTAGCGATGGGTCAAGAAACCCGAAGGCAGCGGGTGAGTCGGGAATGAATCCAATTTTTGGGAGGCGGCCTTCTCGGAAGCCCCAACGGTACCGTGGTACGACACCTAACCATCGCACCCACAAGACCTCTATGGACTGAGGTGAGCGGTTACGAGCGTTTGGACCAACATGAAGAACATTAATACAAAACGCGCCCAATACCCGTGCATACCAAAAAGGATGCGCGCCCGCACTGCTTTCTCGCGACAACACCATCACCGTAGAGCCATGTCCAGGTTTGAGCGTGTCTTGATCCCTACAGATATTGTACGTTGTATAGTTAATTTGGAAGTGTTTAGGTCAGAAAACAGTGTTCAGATTGTTGATAAAGCGCAAGTCATTTCGCTCGGCATCCGTGAAGTCTCGTTCATCACCATCGTATTCTAAACCTAGCAACCGGGAAAGGATATGACCTTTCATTTTCGGAATGAAGTCCTGTCAGGTAGTATCATTAAATGTGTCAGAACAGTCGCACAAGAACATATTTACCGCAACAGCTGGGTCACCTCGATGCTGCTCAAGATAAGAAGCTAAATTGATGGTAATGCCTGGATAACTTGATAAACAATGGTGCGCTTCTGGCGGTAGTGAGTTTCCGGCAGGTTGGTTGTTGCTGGTGTTGCCAGATTCTTGCATACATCTGATACGAGTGCGTCTCCTTTCTTGCTTAGCTAATTGCTTTGAAGGTTCTTGTTTATTCGTATTCCGGTAAAACATTTTCAAGAGCTTGTGTGCGACCTCGCCCTAGAAATTCAAAAAATCAAGTTGTTTACTTGTCATTCCACAAAGAACGCGCACATACTATTTGAGTAGTGTACGAGTCTGTGGTTCCGAACATTTTGATAGAGCTTACATAGTCACCAAGTGCGTGTAACTTATAAGTTCGAATATTGAAGGCCTTGGGACGCGCCCCAGATGACCCTGTTCCTGCAGACGTCGAGTTGAGATTAGCACTCTTCCTCTGACGGGAAGCTATTTCCTCTGGGAGCTCCACAGTGTGAAAGACCGAGCAAGTGGAGTCCCGAAATTTTCGAAGCTGCTGTCCTAGATGTCTAAGAGCTTGACCGAGTAGGTCAAGAGAGTCGTCTGTGTGCAATCGAAGCTTTGCAATGGCGTGCCATTCAGCCAGACGAAAGAGGAGTACACGGACAACTTCATCATGCGAGTCTGGGAATAGACCCTCAAATGCCGGAATCGCACACTGGTCGATCATCAGATTATGATAATTCAAGAACAGTAGAGATCAAACTCACCTGTAAGACATCCTCAAAATGTCGTGCAGCTCTTTGCTTCATATCGGACACATTTGAAGGGAAACATCGGATGGCACCTTTTCCAAATGACGGAATTAAGCGAAAACTTAATATTGAGGGATTGTCAACGTCAGATGAGGCTGCTATGCTAATTAATACGTACCGTTCGTTCAGTAAAGCTACTGATTCGTGATTGATGGCATAAAGTAGCCTTATAAGATGCTTGAGGACGGATTTGAACACTCCGAGCTCAAATTCATGCAAGAGATCGACGACGAGTATAGGAAAGAAGTCAAGGCCTACAGGCCCAAGTCGCTCAGTGAAGGTATTCTAAGCGAAAAGTATACTTAAATCATTCAAAAGGTCCTATAGATAAGTGCACTCACTAATGTTGGTACCAGTGAGAACGACTTCAGAAGACACTCGGCCGCAGCACCTTTGATTGGAGCACCTAGCGTGTATATAGCCTCACGTGCCACAACAATCTTGTCTCTGAGGTATAAGCGCACACTGTTGATGCGCGCCAACATATCAGCCTTGAGACCGAGCCGATCGAAGCATGATTTCGGCACAAAACACCGGGGACATGGGCAATCTCCTTTGTCGTGAATAGCAGCGAGAAGTACTCTATTTGAAGGTTGTTAGTTAATGTGTGGAAGTTGAGGGGATAAATGAGCTCACTTCTCTGGATAATCCGCGGAGTAAGTAAAAATCCTTGGAAAAACTCGTCGAAACACTCCATCGTGGCATTTAATCACAATCCCATTCCTATACGCATCTACAAATTCATCATCCAATAAAATGCGCCAAAATGCATGGAACAATTCCCGTTTGCAATGGGCGAGGACGTCGTTGATGCTCTTGTTGTTGATAAATTTGCGGATGAAACCCACAATAGATTCCGGTAGCTAGAGACAAATCGTGTTAGGGTACTCACTGGTCTTCCGATGGGATGAGTACTTACAGAAGGGATAAATGCGATGGGGTTACAAGCATTGGTAGTCGGACAGGCACGGGCATATTTCGATTGGTTTCCAAAAAAAAGATAGATTGGCCATGCGGAAGCATTCCCAAACTGAGTCAGGTGTGTCGCATCGGACCAGAACATGAGTCCAGCAATCACCCATTCCAGTTTACACCCATCGTCCCTCTTTTGTTTCTGCAGCTCATCGTGGGCCTTATTCCAGGCGTCCGATGTGTAGAGCTCATCATATACACGTTGTTCTCGGCCGGTCAACGGCGATTTCCAAAAGCGTTTGAAAGGGGTGAGGTGAAACCAGCGTGATGATGCCTCTGAGAAGGCCACACGAATAACAGCCACAAGCGGCCGATGATGAAAACCTGGGACAGTTAATGGTTGCCCATTCCCATCTGCATTTCTCTCCCTGGTTGGCACTAGTATTTCTGCCGTCGATTCCCTCCAGCCGTCTCTTCGAAAGATATCGTCGGGGTCCAGTGTTGCTTCAGAGGCATCGAAGCGCATCATTTCTGTATGCGTATTGAAATCATCGGGCACATCATCCAGACTGAAATCCTTGGCCTTCAATACTTCGCAAACGAGGCGGGTTACTTGCGTTTCAGACGTCAGACCGCTATTACTAGTCATCTTCCAAGACATCAAGCGCCATATACTCATATTTCTCCATGGCCAAGGGGGTGACTGCGACGGAGGTGGGCTCCCAGAATGATTAGCTTGCTCATTGAGGGGAGGGGGATCAGACGTGATATTAGATAGCTGGTCAACGGAGACAAAGGCATCCGGGTCATACGATGGTCGGTGGCGATAGTCCCTTCCAATCCCAAATTTATTAAGAGATGTACGAAAAGAATCGAAAACGTAAAGAACTACCCGACGAATGGGTGCTGGAGGTGGTTCTGGAATGGCAGGTGGGGGTACCGGAAGTTCATCCCTGAATCGTAAAGGCAGCCGATGCGATCGAGAGGGACGGCCAGCTCTACTTTCTGGCTGCACCTCCAGGTTTGGAATGCAAGTTGATGCACGCTGCTCCTCTTGCGGGATGTCAAATGCGGATGTGTTAGATGAGGACGCTACTGGATCATGGATGTTGGAGGGAGATATGGGAATATCGGATAAATCGGATGACATGGTATTCATCAGTGGAGAGCTCGAGGCAGAAGTTGGCTAATATCCAAATGAGCAGAGATCGGGATATGGTGTACAACGAATGCACTTACTTGGGTACTAAGTTTTACTTTCTTTGCAGCAGGAGCTTCCGAGTCTTGCAGAGACGCAGAGATGCATTTGAAGTGTTGTGACTGTACACTCAGCTGCTTCTGCCAGTGCTTGCAGTCCTGACGGTGACGGGTCAAAGTTCTTGGTGCTGAGAATGATCGGCTGCATTCGCCCCCACATCTGAGGGACATACTGATAAAAGCAGCGAGTAGCAGAAAGGCCGTCAGATCCTTGAGAGTATAAATAAATTTCATTGCCTCTTCATATGCGCCAGAGGGATTGGCGAACGTTAAGTGCAACGGACATCAACAAAACAACTCACAATAACAGTGTTAACACCGTAAGAAAAACTAGTCACATGATTCCCCCGCATGTCCAAACGTCCAAGGCCAGCAGCAGGTCACCCCCCGCCAAGTAGTAGTGTGACTATGAGTAAGTAACAAATGATAATAGTGAAAAAATAAAACATGAGAGCTTGTTAGTAGACTTAGGATAGCACATACAGCTGTTAAACGATGCATTGATGAGCCCTTGTAGCTTTTAGAATTAGAACTGAGCGTCATCATTCCGGAAAATGCCGGTGACATACATTTGTCCAAATCGGGACGTGTTTACGATACGCGATAATTCCAACAACGCAGGTAAGCATTAACTCGTTCTCAATTCAATTTTATATCTACCAGTAGCTCTAGTACAATAATGAACAACTACGCTAACGGGGGCGGGAATCGAGATGGGGACGGAGACGGAAACCAAGGTCGCCAGGTATGTTGAGGAAGTTCTAACTACTACTCACTAACGTTCTACAGATCCCAGAGCACCTTCTGTGAGTCGCGCCGAGGCCTCGCGACGTGACATTTACGTTGACTGAAAGGCAAATCGTAAGTAGCGACTCATTCAGCAATTAAAATTCTAACATATCTGAAGGAAATGATGTATGTGAGATGGGACACTGCGCGAATCCGCGTGCACCAACAAATCTACAACCCCCACTTACCGTTTCAACCCTACCCTCTGCCTCCGGCCTGGACAGATGAAGCGCGCGCGATGATGGTCCTTTGGATCGCTAGGGAACGCCGGATGTTTGAGCTGGAGATGCAAGAGTTGGAATATCTGCTGGGACTTAGAGGTGCGCGTTAGCGCTTCCAGGTGAGCCGGCAACTATAAAATTCTGCGTTGACTTACGAATGTTCGGTCATACGCATGAAGAGGCTGAGAATGAGGTTTAGCGGCTGCACATATTGGACACACTTACTATACACGATGTAACACCACACGGACTTTTCTGGGGCTGCCCGTACATGTATGACTAGTCGAAGAATTGGCGGATCTTCCATTGTATCAGTGAACGACACGCTTGAATGGGGTGAAATTTAATGATCAGAGGTGTTGGGGGAGAATTCGAGACTAACGTCAGACGCCGTTTCCAGCAGACTTGATTTGTGAAATTCGCAGCACCTAGCTTGGACTGCTCGTACCTCACGGGACTGAGCGTGTAGTGAATTATATCCCGAATGAAAGTCTGTAAACCAGGAATCTGATGATAGGGTAAGCTCGAGTCGATGATAATTCATTATATTGTTACTTATGCGGCTATGTCGAGTCCAAGCGACTCACCGGCATGAAGGCTGTTGCAAGACCTTTGCCCAGGCGAACAGATTGAACAATTTTGGGGTTGCGCTGCTTTACAGAGAGTTATGTCAGATACATGGTTGGGAATGAATGATATTCCCCAAACCATCATGGCGACATCATTAGCAGTCCTTGGAGATGTCCTAACTTTGTCTATGCGGGAAGTCTTCGTCCCAAGGGTGAAGGTTGTGAGGCGCAAGGAGTCCGAGAAGGCAGGAATAGTGGTGCTCAGCATCTGATCAACAAAGGCGACAATAGTAGCAGAAAGAACAGGCTCATAAATGAGCCAGAGACGGTCCAAGAACTTGTTCATCCAATCAGCGGATTCGTGCTTGGGTGCAAGACATGTCTTGATCAATTCCCGCTGTGACTCAATCAAAGGCAGTGTAAAGACGCGAAAGCTACTTACTGATTCCACCAAAGTAAGAGATCATCGACTTTCTTTCGCTGCTTCTGGCGTTGGAGGAAGCTCCAGATAGTCAATGATGTTGTGATAAAATTCTTGATTGTTGAATTCGTCATCAACAATGCGCCAAGATCCTGAGTTTGACAATGCTGGGCCCTCTAATCAGCAAAGTACACAAATATTGAGTTAAATAGTCTGTACCTGAGCAGACACATACGCTATGGCTCGAGGTTGGACAGATCGCATATCGAGTAGTGTTGCAACGTCACGCACCAGTTAATTAACAAGCTGATGTGTGACCGATGCATTGCTGGATAAAATCTGTCGTGCGTTGCAGTATGAGAATAATCAAAGTAGTGAACAGTACAAATGGTCTGTTTCAAACAATGAGTACTCACTTGAAACGCGGCACTAAGAGTGCATCGTGGTCACGGTGCAAATCAAAAATCGAAGCAAGATCACAGGTAGGTTGGCTAAGCAAATTGTCACGTGATCTCAATGTTTGTGATGTTGAACCTTTACTAGTAGGCAGCACTGCTCAGCAATCATCAAGGACGATACTGTTTGTTATTACACTGGTATGAAGAGTTAATACAACAAGTTACATCCCATGGTTCTCAATAGCGTTACAGACTTCAAGAAGAACTCCGTGCTGCCTATCAACGATTGTTCCGATCCTACTGACAGCATCACGCACTCCCACGACTTCCTGCATGACGGCCGCCATCTTGGCTAGCAATTCCCCTTCAAACGACTCGAATTTTCTTTCAACCTTCGTACGTTTTTTAGGCGGAAGCTCAACAATAGGTACTGATGTTGCCCCCATGTTAGTCACGCCCTGGCCAAAGTGAGTGTGTCAGTCGAAAAATTGAGCTGGGCATACTCACCCCATCATCTTCAGACCACTTTCGCTTTGAACGAGGTGCATCAGCATTGTTGTGATTGCCACCTTGAGCTTCCAACTGTTGAAATTAGAGCTGTTACAATGGCCGCCTATAATCTACAGACACATACTAGCTCTGGTTGTTCCGCTCGAAACTCATCTGCGAGCTGAAATGCCTCCTCATCGTCTGGAGATGAAGGTTCGGATTTGAACTGTCCGAAATTCCACTGATAGCATCTACAGGAATACGCAGGGACACTTTGGCCATGGCCACACCCATGGCATCCGATATGACTTTCTGGAGTAGACCTCCCTGAGCGGTCCTCCAACCTGAAGTTAGCGTCCGTTAAGATCACCTCAGCCCCATCATTGAAGTCAGAAGGGTGAGAGTTATTATGAGCGTTGTAGTCAGACGACATGTTTCTTGCTTACTCCGTCAAGTGTAAGGGTATTTGTATCATGTCATGTTTTCAGGACTTAGACCCATGCCCCGTTACAGAAATCCTTTTGGTCCGCATTGTAACAAATCTTGGAATCTGATGCTCCCACCGTCGTTGCCAAACAGATCTGAAGCTAGCCAACAATGGCTCAAAGTCTCATGTTCGGCACCGTGTTCATTGATGCTGATATCTAGGGACAATATTTCAGGGTAAAATGCAACTCTAACTTGACGTCACGAAGCTCCGCCGCACTCCAGGGTTGTTTCTATGTAATATTGAAAATTTTTATAACTCCTTACAGGACAGTCTAAAGTGCTTGACGGCTCCAAGCTCCTCGTCAATTGTAACATGATCCGGCCGGTACCACCTAATCTTACTTACGCTAGTGAGTGGAACCAGATTACTAGTTAGATCTATCATTGATATGAAATACGGTTCTCAAAATATGTTTAAACTAGGGAGTGGAGAAATGAAACGATCGACCTGATTCACATTTCCATCACAAGAGCCTGGATAACCACATTTTGCCATGTCCTATACCAGTACTGACTCGGACTCACACCCATCTGGCTTGGCCGACGCTGAAGCTCTCCTCATAATTGCTAGATTTGAGGAGTTGTGTGAAGGCGACACTACGACATCCAGCACTCCACATAGCCATGACTTTGAGCCGTGCCTCGGTGGCCAAGCGCATGGCCAAGGCGCCCCTGTATACAGCTGCGGGTGCTACCGTCGCACGAAAGTTGAACCTGCACTTGCACTCGCAGATGCACTCGCAGATGTATCCGAACACCAGGGACTTGAAAAGGTACAGTGGCCACCTCAAGATATTATACACTCGATTCTAATGGTTATTGTTCCAGGATGTCGATAGTTCGAACACACAAGTTGGAGGCCGTAGCGGTGACTCGGAAATTTGGCCCCTGAAGCGCAAGAGGTCAAAGACAGCCTCTGAGTCTGACCCCACGGTGAGCTGGACTCATCATTTCGTTTTTCACATCAGTTGTTAATGGCTATATTGAATGTAGCACCAGCACTTGAAGTGCCAAAGTGTAGGAAGCTGGGAAAGGCCTTTAAATTGAATAGAAGCATGACTCATGAAACCTCAGTACTTAATGTTGCGAAACGCCTCGAAGCTGCCATTGACAGGCAAACAGAGGTGCTGTCCAAGATTTATCGCGTTCTGGAGGGCAGTGCCAAGTAAACTTATCATTTATGATACCTTCTGTTGTAAACCTATACTATCACGATGTATATTCAAGCTCGATGGAAAGCATTTCACGCAAGATCTCCTTTCATCACTCACTAGGCCACCGTTGGTTTAGTTTAACTTGAATTAGTACTGTTGAAGAAACGTAATTGAATTTCTCAGGCTACGATTTGCGCGGATTGATTACCAGTCCAGTGCCAAATGCCCTGCTGTACCTAGCACAGGCTACCTCTATGCACTCCATATCCTGCTTTGCGCGGTCCAGGACTGCGCAATCAATACGCAGGAATGAAATCGACGAATGGAGCATAGCTTCGTGACCAGGCGAGCAGAATAGTAAGTTGGTTTGACAAAATTAAGTAATCTCAGGCAATAATATAGTGAATGAACTTCGGCTCGGCGCGACTTGGGTTGCAGCCGCTGCACCGCCACACTGGCCGAGTGTTCAAACCCTTCATGCCAGTGCCAGCGCTTCCCATCGAACTTGAGAGAGAGATCATCACTCTTGCTATTGATTGCATGCAGCAAGCTTACTCGTTCTTGTTTGTTTCACGGAGGGTGCATTACTGGTGAGCAATTCCGAAGGGTTGAGGCAGAGCACAATGATACTGAATACTGCTGTAGGATCGAAAGACTACTTTACCGAAAAATTGTTCTGTCAAGTGAAAGCATTGCTATCTCCTTTCTTTCATCACTTTATATTCGGTCCCGTCACTGTGACTTCGCTCGAGGGGCAGTGAAATCATTGTGTATCGAGGGCGATGTACTTCTGAGTACAGCTGCAGAGATCATTTCCCTGTGCAGTGGTACCACCAATCTTGCATTATGGATCGCGCCATCGGACTTCAAGAATGAAACAACAAATCCTCTGCTACAGCCCTTAGATGACCTCCCACTAATATTGTTATCACTTAGTATATCTCTGATTTTCCGTTACACCCAGTTGGTCTCCCTTTCCGCTTTCAAAGCCTTCGGTACCGTGACACACCTTGAAATTCTCAACGGCTGGGTGCTATGGAACTCTACACTTGATCTGGAGTATCTTCATGGACTGACGCACTTGTGTCTACATATCCATACACGGAGGACTAAACCAAAATTGGTGGCGTCCCTTCTCACTCTGCCACACCTCCAAGTAGTTGTCTTCCGCATCTCAGAAGATATCAATACAGTCGAAACATTCCTGGAATCTAGTTCCCTTAGCGACTCTCGCATTGTGCTGGCATCTCAAGTTCCCGCTGCCTGGGGTGAATTTGGAGGTGGCGACATGTCTCTCTGGAAGGGCGCTGATCAAGTAGTAGATTTGAGGCGCACCCAAGGCATGTCTTTTTATCCTGAAAATCCACTATGACCGGCTAATGCCTTCAATAGGAGGGCCTTTTAGCGTACCGTCATCCAACATTTTGCATTGCTGAGTACCTCCCGGTCAGTTCTGTATCGTGATACATACTTCGTGGCTCTATAGATAATCATCTTCAGAGCGATGTATGGACTTTGATGTGCTACCTCAGAGTAGGGGACGCGTTTACTTTTTTCCACAAGGATCTATGTACATATTCTGACCAAAAATCTTATTTGTCAATGGCGGGTCATCTTTTTGGTTCGTGACAGAGAGTTCAGTCGCACCAGTCACGGCAGAATTTTTCCAGAAGATTAGACCAGGTCATGACCTTGAAAGAGTCACGGCAGTCGCGACTCGAAATCTACCGTACATTCATGTGCGACTCTCAAGGGGTTGTCAAATTCTCTCTATCACGAACTTCCTGTATATCATTGGTATGTCCCTTTATCATATTCTACTTTCTTCCGTTAAGGGTTCTGGTTGCAATTGCAGGACTATGCATCCAATTCAATGCTGGCCTTTTGGCGATCAGCTAAGAGGTTGCAATGAGGCCCTACGTACCATTCGAACAGTATGTCCTGATGTCGTGAAGGGCTACAAGTGTCTACTGGGGCATTTAAAGTGAGTATACTTGTGCTTTTAGGAGACTGTTGATTAATTGCGTGCTTAGTTCTATCATATCAGCACGTCCTGTCGTTGTCTTCACACTAGCTGCCTGCCCTTTGTCATCCGTCCCCACAATGCACCCTGCATCCATGCCCGCACCGCCTATATTCTACGACACCCCCACTCGACCCATCAACACCAGGCTTTCACCCCCAAGTCACATCAGCAAGTGCCAACGGCAAGGAGAAGCGAACGCGCAGCATCAAGAGACGGCGACCTCCAGTTCATTCATTACACGCCCATATGCCACCTCCTGCACTCGAGTTCATGTTCATTGTGCTCCAAGTCTGGTATCATTAATTGTACGTAGCATTACACTTGAGACTTATACATGACGCTAAACTACACCTTATAGTAAACAGTACATCCTACACAATGTCTCAAGGATCTGGGTATGCGTAATGATTTGTGTTCTCCTGTCTCTTGCTGAAGACGTCTACTCCACCATGTACTAGATGTACTGCGGCAGATGATGACTCCGGGCCTGCTGAAAATAAAGGTTTGCCTTCTATACAGGCATTGAACAATGCTAAATTCTCACCTAGTATTGTTTCCAGCCGCTTTCCACGTTACGATCCAGAACTAGTGCTCTGATGCGAATCGCCAGCTTCGTCGAGATAACTGACGACATGAACGAAGAAGTCCATGACCATAAGGGGACAGAGGCCGTGAAAAACGGTAAGGCATTCAGGTGAAATGATTTCTATATCGTCCACCTTCCTGACTCCCAGTGATGTCAGTGGACAGAGAAACATTTCAGTCCAACCGCGTCGTGGCTCTGCCTTATCGAGTTTGGCCAGAAAATCACTGATAGAAGGATAAAAGACGCGGGGGTCAGTCTCAAGCTCCAAGTTGGCAAGTATAGATGACATGGAGTTGGTGTTTTGGGGGGCTATACAGAGGCCTTTAGCAGGGGTATTTTTTCAAATGGTCTCAATTTGATTCAATGACGTTCTGACATTTGTTGTAAAGGCTTTCAAATCCGGTTTGCCCGCCAGCGCAAATAGTGAACAAAGATCCGGCCGTACATTTGTTTTAGTCTCTATTTCGTCCAGGTAGTTATAATCTGGTTTGGTTTGGTGTCCCCACCTCTCATTGGTTTAGCGTCCCCGCTTTTCCATTTTATTCAAGATTTTTTTTTCTTGTTCCACCCTTACTACTCCACTTGACCGCGACGTTTTATGTAATCACCGTGAGCACATTAACTTGATTAGGCCGCAGTCATCTTTAATCTAATCGTGTTGATCAACAGGATCGCCTGGAGCAAACTCTACTAGTCAATCACGCACTCAACACGTACGCAATGCACTGTCCATGGAGATATGAAGAATGTACAGAGCCGAAACTCAAAAGGTGTCGGATCTTTGCTAGTATATGACGTTGTGATTGGTACATGTCATGAAACTAGCTGTTTTGAGGTCCGTGCTTCATTTCCGCTATGTTTCCTCAGCTAAATTGACTTACATGCCCACTTCCAAATTCCCACTCAACATTCTTATCCGTGGGCAATGGCGTCCTCATCCCAATCTCAATCTGAATCAGACAACAACGACATTCAACCTCTAGTCGCTCTTAAAAGACGAATCGCTGCACTTGAGGAAGAAAATGCAGACCTTCGAGTCCGTCGGCTCCCTGGGAAGAAATAGTATGTCTAATATTTAAAAATCCGGTACAACAGATTGATAATGCGATCAAAACAGTGAATCAAATGTATATTATGGCCGAGCAATTCGAAGGCTCGTGTGCCTAACCGAGCGCGTTGAAGATCTAGTAGTAGAATTCGATAGGTGCATTGGACTGGGCGCTGCCAATGAATCTGACGCTGATATAATGGACTCAGATAACCCAGAGTAAGTGTTTTCCTGAATCTTACTGGTTAACTCTCAGGTCGTGTTTCAGAGAGAATAGACGGTATCGCTCCTTCAAGAAACTTATGACATGGTGTCCCTCGGTTCGTAAGTTGCTACGGTCATCTGCCGAGCATGAAACTCTTGCTTTTGCGTATAGTAAGGTGAGATTCCCCAAAACAAATCACCGACGAATCATCACTGTATCTCGCATCCAGCTGAATGAAAGCTCTGATGGGGCCAGAGGAGACGACTCTGCTGGTCTCAAGCGTGCTGTTGCTGATTGGCTAATGGAACGTACCCCCACGCCAAATCCCCCCATTCACAAGCAAAACAAATCTGGTCGAGGATTTTACCACGACATGACGGGCGAACTCTTGTGCCCAGTTGATTATAACTGGAGCGATCCCACGTAAGTGCTCTTTTATGAGCTGCGCCACAGCTAACTTATACCTTCAAAGTGTTCGAGCATCCATTCGAGACTACCATCCCGATTTTCGCATCACTGCTTGCTCTTGGCCTTCGTTCCTGTACAAGGATGGACGTTACGACCCCCAGAACCCTACAAAGGATCTGTTTAAAGGCGAGCTACTAGTAAAGGTGAGATTAATATGTGTGACAGAAGTTATACTGAATGTTGTCTGCAGGCATTTAAACGCGTATTCACCTCTCCGAGTTCCACAGACGAGGAACAAGCTGTTGACTCGATGGGTCGTTCCGCACTCGGCAGGAACAGTGGTGAGCGTCGCACTCGGCGTGATGTTTCGACACTAGTCAATATGTGATCTATCCAACCTCGAGCCATAGCTTACATATCCGTTCAGGTTCAGACTACTTGATTCAAAGTATCCATGTTTTACTGATTAAGGGGCTTAGCTAAGATTTGCGTTGTCAAGCTCAGGATCTTGGCGCGTCGTTGATGACGAATTCAACAATCAAGAGTTTTATGATAACATAGTCGACTATCTTGAACTTCCTCCAACACCCGAAGCAGCGAAAGAAGTGGATGATCTCTTACTTTGGTGGAATAGGTGAGTAGCCTTGGTGTCTTTACACTGCCTTCCATTGATGCATTGACACGTTGGGATTCCATTTTTTAGAAAAGTTTTTGGTCGAAAACATGTTTCTGACTATCGCCCGCAGCAGGCAAACCACATGTCAGTTGCCATGACTTTGGCCAAGCGACGTTGCCCGTAGCTTAGTTGGGTTGGAACCTACTAGTACTTAAGTGGGAGTTCCTTGTATTAAACTTTATATTGTACAATTTCAGCTACGTTGTATAATGATCAATTTTGGCCGCAACATCGTGCATTGCCGAGTGAGATCCGAGTAGTGCGATCAGGATTCAGCGCTCAGCAATGACATTAAGACCCTTTTCTGCGTAAATGTCGAATGATAGATAATTTGTTTAAACATTCTGCACCATCATATGGTTGAGACGAGTGGTTCACTTTCTTCACCCATCTAGTATCTAGCAGCCAACACGAATATGACACTTATGTGACTTCAGGTAATGAGTTGTGCGTGGTGTTGCAGTATTGAACATTGGTCGTGCTTGTGTCAAGAACGGCGTTGCGAGTGATCAGGGACACATCCACCTGACTTGCAAGCTCTGGTAGCGCATACTGCGCTGATACATGTGGGCCACCAGCTCAATAATGACAATTTTGTCTCTAAGCACCTCATTTCGCAATGCAAGTCACATCAATATATTAGAACTTTAGAATGATATAGTGTGTCTGCTCGTGCCAATCCTGCAAGTATCTGCCTACAATGTAGGTCATATCTGCCTACAAAATCATTATGTAGATTGGCCACAAAGGCTACGTGTTTAAAGTCATATATGGTCTCTAATACAGTTCCTGTTGCTTAATGTCTGACTCCCAGTTGTGTAGTTTTAAGACAGTGTATTGCGCAAAAAGAATTATAATTTCTTCACTTACATGCCATACTTGGTGGTCCACAAATACGTATTATTATTATTTAAATTGGTCAAGGAGGCTACGTGTTTAAAGGTAGATATGACATTATATAACCGCTTGCCATATTTTACCTGATTGCGGACATTATGACCATTATAAGGCGGATATAATGGTTGGTAACGTATCTTGATTTTCAGTGATGCTAGGAGCTCGGGAGGTGACTTGACACGTATACATACAGCTATATGCAATGAATTGACCTAGTACTTGCCATCGTCCGACATGCACCGCTGTCTTCGCCTGACTGAGATCCTCGAAATAATATTTTGTCTTGTGTTGGATGTTCGATTTATTGACCCAAGCTTCGATTGCTATCAACTGCTACAGCCTGCAATCTTACCGTTTCCTAACACCAAAGGTCGACACTCCGTCCTCAACCTCGCACTTACCTGTCGTGCATTTCGCGACCCAGCACTCAATGTCCTTCACTCCTACATAGGAGATATCTGGCCTCTCAGCAAGTCCGTGCCTGGTCAACTGCCCAAACCTTCCTGGGTTCATATACCCGAACAGTTCCGCCCATCAATCCTCCGTGCTACATGCGTCCAGATCTTCTTCAACCAAAATTTACAGCACCATGACTCTGCATACGCACTGCTCCTTGAAAGCGCATCCAAAGACGCCCCGCTCTTTCCCCAGCTGCGCTCGCTCGGATGGTTTGACCCACGTGTTGAAACCATCCCGGCCCTCAACCTCCTCCTACCCACCGTCCATACCCTCGCTCTAGATATCACGAATGATCAATTTCGCAAAGCCGTCTTCCAAAACCTCCGTACCACCTCCTTGCACCTCAAATCTCTTGAATTTATAGCCATGGTTCACACAGGGCTGATAATCCCAGAATTGGAGTCCTTCCTGTCCAGCTATTCTGAGAGTCTCACCGAAATTTCAATCAGATTCTTCCGTAAAGACGTCCCAAACGTTCTGCTCGAAGCTATCGCTGTGTGGCCACGTCTCCAATACCTCACTCTCGACATAGGATTCAACAGCATGCCTCTCCGTGCACCCCAACCTTTTCAGGCACTCACTCACCTGCATATGTCATGCGTAACTCTGAGACTTTTCTCATCTTTGCTACATTCTATTTTCGGGACGGATTCTGGTACCTCCGGATGCCCAAACCTCAAGAAAATTTACAATATCGCACACACTTGCGGTCCCAATGCCACCGGTATCTGGTCCGAACTTTTCACTATCCTCACACGCACAAAGCTAGAGCACATCTCGATCATCGAGAGCTGTAGTAACTCTCAGCCCGAGCCGTGCTACACAGGACCAACATTTTTTGAGCTTCGCCCCTTCCTCGCCAGCCGTACCACACTCGTAAATATCAAAACCCTCCTCATCTTCCCCGCCCACTACGGGTCCATTACGCTTACAGATGCCGATGTCCACACGCTTGCTCGTGCATGCCCACACCTCTATTCCGTTAGCCTAGGGAATCACAACTCACCTGTGTCTTTGGGTGCCCTGGGTTACATCGTGAGACGCTGTCGTGAGCTGTGCGAAATCTCGCTACGTGTGGACGCGCGGCTCGATGCGCTCGGGACAATACCTCTGGACGATGACGAGCAAATGTACCTACAACCCAATAGACGCCTGAGGATGCTGGCCATTGGAGGGTCACCCATTGCATGCGTGGGTCCGTTGAACCCTCCGACTGCACCAGACCTGATGATGTCCATCCCACGGTTCCTGCACATGATAGCACCGCGACTCGCGAAACTCGAAATATCCTTAGAGTCGCGTCTCGGGTGGACATATCGCAGGTACAGCCTTAGGGAAATGAAGAAAATGGATGATATACAGAGGTGGAAGAAGGTGGGGAGGGTCTTGTTGGAGTTGACACAAGGGGACACTGACTGATGGTTTTGATTTCCTTGTCGGTGGGAGCAGTATCGTGAGTAGAAGAATACGTCATAGCGCCATGCGGGCTACGAACAACAGCACAGCAATACCTAGAGAAATGACAAGTGTAATGGTATGACGTGGTATATTGACCGCTGTTGAACCAACGTGCACTCTGGTAAGTCTTCAACCTTCTCTTCGTCATCTCCCTCCTGCTCTTCGTCCTCTTCCGTACGGATGAGCTTACCGCCGTGAGCTTTCAAGTGTTCGGCGATGTTATCGAGTCCCCCACTCTCGCGCTCTGGACCGAACGAGTAGCTGATCTCCAAAGGACATACTAATCCTGTCCTCTCATTCATCGTTCATCATTTGAACCTGCAACGACTCCGCCAACGCAGTACCAAAGTTGAGATGATCATGATCATTCTCGTCAATAACTCCGATTCTAATTGGTCGATATCCTACGTCATTTTTCTTTCGCTCACTCGTCGCTCCCTTATATTTAGTACCTGCAATTTGCCAACGCAGGTATCTTTTGGAACTTGATATGAGTCGAGAGGTTGTGAAATATTTATAATCAATGATGAATAATCTGAAATCCAACTCGCGATACTGTCGCCATCAGTACTTACTCAGTTGTCAGGAGCTTCCGCCACCGTTACTCATGGAATCAGTCAGCCCAGCGCTAGCCGAGCATATCATAGTCTATTAATCTTGCAACGCTGTGCACCTGCCGGTGCTGGGTGCCATCCAAGATTTCCTGATGATGCGGCATATACTCAACCTGACAAATCTATATATTTTAAACTCGTTAACCAGCTTGTCGAGGTTGGCTATAAAATACACGATGTGGATTCCCGTCTCCAGATCTCCATTCAAAGCATTTCATACCTAGTTTGTAATAGATCACCATGTCCGATTCCTCGACCTCCGCACTCTTTTCCCCCATCCGCGTGGGCAACATGAACTTGCAGCACCGGGTTGTCCTTGCCCCACTTACCCGCTTGCGTGCACAGGCAGATCACGTCCCAACCCCACAAGCACCAGCATACTATTCTCAGAGAGGGTCTACCCCTGGCACTCTTCTCATCTCAGAAGGCACATTCATATCCCAGAGCGCTGGTGGTTATGATAATCTCCCTGGGATATATACCGATGCCCATCTGGATGGATGGAAACAGGTATGTTGTTCCTTGCTCAATAATTATGAGAGATGACTCACGTTCCGGACTGCAGGTAACAGAAGCAGTCCATGAGAAAGGTTCTTTCATTTTCCTACAACTCCTGGCGCTCGGCCGCAACGCAGAAACAGCCGTTCTTGCCAAGGAGGACAATAGTCCCCTCGTCGGTGCCTCACCCATCCCCCTGCCGGGCAAAACAGACGTGCCACGCGCGCTCACCACGGATGAAGTCAAAGAATACATTGCCATGTATACCGCTGCGGCAAAAAATGCCATTCGAGCTGGTTTCGATGGCGTTGAAATTCATGGCGCAAATAGCTTCTTGATCGACCAGTTCATACAGGATGCCAGTAACCAACGCACAGATGAATATGGCGGAAGCATCGAGAATCGCGCAAGGTTTGCGCTCGAAGTAACGGATGCCATTGTCGAGGCCATTGGTGCTGAGAGGACCGGGTTCCGAATGAGCCCGTGGGGCGTATCCAACGGTACATGCGACATCATTCAATATTAGCGATCTTTATTTAACTGATTTGTGGTGCAGGTATGGGGATGGCAGACCCCAAACCCCAGTTCTCCTACGTGGTTGAGCAGCTGCGCAAACACAAACTCGCATACATCCACGTCGTGGAGCCGATGCCTGCCGAAGTCACTGCTGAAAAAAACAGCGATTTCCTCCGTGATATCTGGCAAGGTGTTGAAGGCAGTACCTTCATCAGCGCGAACGGATATACCCGGAATACCGCAATCGAGACGGTAGACAAGAAAGGCGGCCTTATTGGATTCGGGAGGTTGTTTATGCCGAACGTAAGTCATTTGTTTCCCGGACTAGGCAGTGACCAACATGTCCCCTTACTAGCCCGACCTTCCGTTCCGCTTGCGAAAGGGTATTGCACTTGAGCGCGGTGACCGAGCAACATGGTACATGGGCGGTAATCTCACACCAGCGGGCTATTCGGATTGGCCCTTTGCACCAGAGAACGATCAGCAATAGATATCAGGTATCTTGTACATTCGGGAAAGTTAGCGCCAAATCCTCCTTTGACAGCGCCATCTATGCGACTTTCAGGCCGACTTACCCTAGGTCCCTGTTTGACTTTGTATTCCGGTACCACGAGCGCAACAATAGTGCAAGATGGAATAGAGCGGTGGATCTTGGTTGTGGGACGGGTCAGTTCTAGCTGTACTCAATGTGGAGGGCTTGGACTCTTGACCTACTGTTGATCACTCGGGATTTCAGGTCAAGCAACAGTCGAGCTCACACCCTTCAAGCGCGTCACTGGCGTCGACGCGAGTTCTAATATGATCAAAGTTGCTCAAGGTACCCTCAAGAATACGCCAACGAGCACTGGTCAATATGAGTACATACAGGCGAGCGCAGAGAATCTAACATTTTTGGAGGATAGCAGTGTGGATCTAGTCATTTCCGGTGCGTGTCACTTAGAAGGAGAAACCACTATTTGTTCATGATGACTGTGTAATTGTAGCCCAGGCATGCCATTGGTTCGATTGGAACAAAATATGGCCTGAGGTTGCAAGAGTGCTGAGGAAGAATGGAAGTGCTGTATTCTGGGTACGTGTTCCCGTCTCCAAGCCATGTCACTCTTAACATTTACTTGACTTAGGGTTACTCCCAGTTCCGCTTCGCCCGCTATCCGTCACTCACGCAGAGAATTAACGCTTATGTCGAAGGCACTGACCCACTGAACACCGTTGGCCCATACTGGGAGCAACCCGGTCGTTCGATTTTAGATAACCACTTGGTTGAGGTACCAGATGCCAATGAAATTGTACCTGGCGCGTTCAGCGATTTCGAGAGAGTTTTCTTCACAGGTCTGTGTTGGACCCATCATATCGTCATGCGACGCTTCACTAATACATCGCAGGCGACTACCACCCATCTCTCCCTTCCCCACGCTCCGTGATCATGCGTAAGAAGATGACGTGGGATGACCTGCTATCGTATTTGAATACGTGGAGTGCATTGCACACATTCCGCCAGCACAACCTCAGTGATGGAGAGAACCCGCATGGAGATGTCGCAGTGCGGTTCTGGAAAGATCTTAAGGAGAGTGCCGAGCGGGAGGACGGGAGAGCCGTGGAAGGACATGATGAAGTAGATATTGAATGGCCGGTGGCGGTGGTAATGGCTAAGAGAGCGTGATAGTGCTCGAGGGCGGTAGGTAGGTGTTCTTTTGTTGGCGGCTTGCAGATCATCAGACTTATCTAAGGCAAAGCACTGGTAATGATTCGGAAGGCCAGTGAGGTTGTTAAAACCTTCAAGTCAAGGGCTTGGGTTGGAAGAGAGTCAACTGCGCTCTATTTGTGCTTCATCGAGGGATGTTATCGTGCTAAATATTCAATCTTCGCGTGAAACGGTACAAGACACATTTGACTTGCATTGACACCAAGCGTTCTGGCTCCTTGTTCCCCTCCTAGAGGGCGTCTGTGAGGCTCGTAGTCGCGCAGAACGACGACGAGATGGTGGTCGAAGGGCAGGCATAACGTTTGAACTCCGCTGCGGTGCCGAAGCGTGCCGCGTGCCTGTAGCATGCACAGCCAGCCTTAGCGCTCAATTTGCGCACCCATGGTGGCTCGCCAATTTATTGCTGAAACAGAGCGCCTCCCAGATCACGCCCATGTGTTGCTCATAACAACTGGCAGCGTGGCATCTATCAAAGCTCCTCTCATTGTCTCAGCGCTTCTTCAAGTCTGTCCCCGTCCTTGGAATCCTGCTCTTGCTCATGTTGTGTGCAACATAGTACCAAAATGTCAGAGTAGAAGTGGTTGCGACCAAGGAGTCGGTCGCATTTTATGACCCTGCAGATGTAGTCAATGCAGGCGCCCGCGTGTGGACCGATGAGGACGAGTGGTCGGTGAATACACGCGCTTTTCAGAAGAGTTTGGCCGTCTTAACGTCCATGACAGGGGCCATACAAGATTGGAGATCCGATTCTGCATATCGAGTTGAGGAGGTGGGCTGATATTGTTCTTGTCGCTCCCTGCTCGGCGAATACGCTCTCAAAGATTGCACACGGACTCTGCGACAATCTTGCGGTATGTTTCCCAGCGCATTCATTTCGTGCTTCATGGCAAACCTCTTGCTTAGACCTCTCTGCTTCGTGCGCTGGCACCTACGACACCGACTTACGTATTTCCGGCGATGAATACGCTCATGTACGAGCATCCGCTCACGGCAGAACATTTGCACGTTGTGCGGGATGTTGTGCGCTACCAAGTTGTCGGGCCAATCGGAAAAAATCTTGCCTGTGGGGACGTTGGTATGTGGTCCCGACTTTTATTTCTTGCCGTTGCAGATAAATTGGCTCTTTTCAAAGGACTCGGTGCCATGACGGAATGGCGTGATATCGTGGAGATAGTAGTGGATCAAATGAAACTCGTTCGCAAAGACAGCAAATCATAAAACTCTATAAGTCTAATATTGGTCTAATCTACAAGTATTCCTTCTTCTTCGCGAATACATGTATATGTGCTAGTCCACGAACACTTTGTATCCTCTGAAAATGCTCAGCATCTGATGCAGCGTAGCTAGAGCCACTCACTGGGGGGTTGACAAACCATGCAGTCTCCCATTCCCTCTCCACCCACCTTCGTTTCACAAAACCATCTATTTCTCTTCCAGCATTCCTCACCATATCTTCGATCTCTGGATTGCCCCTGGGGCTGCGAACTAATTTCTCCATTGTGATTCCCCACTCCGCTAGGGCAGGCAGACATTCTGGTAGGGTGGACGGTGAGGGTGGAAGCTCATTGGTGCCTGTAAACCCACACAACCCATCTTGTTGAATCCGTGTATCGACTTCTGCTGGGATGAGATCTGGATGGAAGATAGGTACTCGCGACCAGATGAGCGTATGTTCGATCTCGATAGGGACGGAGTAAGGCCAGTCGTTCTGAATGATACTGATGAACTCCGAGTCGAACGGGATATCAGCTTTGAAATATTCGGGTGCGTCTGGGGGAAGCGATGGGAGAAACTGATTAGATTTGGATGATGAGAAGGACACATCCTTGAGTCTGATATCGCTATCAAGTGCTGAGGGTAAGAGCGAAAGGCTATCCGGCTTTCCCCATTGAAGACGATGGTTGATGAGGTAGTTCTCTTCAGGCTGTTGAGCGATCTCTACATCCTGACTCTACGTTACCTACCCAATGAGCCGTGCTCCTTCACGACTCCTGGAGACCATGCGTTATATCTCTTTTGTAGCGCCTTGTTACGCTTTAGCAGCCCGAGATCCCTTTTGTGACGTTGCAGAGTCAGCGTCGTCTGTCTTGTTGATACTGGCGGTGAAATACAAGTACCCAGAATTCACGAAGGTCTTGAGCTGGTGCCATGTGAACTTGGCTGGATAATGCGCGAGCAACTCTTTCCTTGTTGGAGGACCTGTTAGCAGGGAAACTTGCATGATTTTTTGGTGGGAAACATTATCTGGTGTATCCAAGGGTGGCTCTATCGTCATGGTCGTTGATGAGTAAATACTTTATTAGTAATTTGTTGATCATTTGTTTACCTTTGCATTAACTTTCCTACATTGAATTGGACCTTAGTCCAGTAAAGTAAAACTTTTTTAGCTGGGATCTAATACGCTTCCCCGGATTGAAAACAGGGGCGAGGGCATTATGATCATCGCATGGAAATACTATAGCCCGTTTGAACGTTGAACGTTAAACATTTATTTACATAACGTGGATTGTTTTTAAAGTTCAACGTTCAAGCTCAAGACCCATCTGGAAGTTCTGAATCCGAATGCAGACCCACTAGTAGCACTTAGCTTGATTGATTCAAACAATTGCGTGGTTTGCATTGATTTCTAGTAACGTTAACCCATGTTAGCCCACCTTACACCAACCCTGACTCAGTCGGACCCGTTTGCCTGCGCCGCTCTATCTGCCAACTGGTCTAAATTCATGTCAGTGAAGTCATTGGCATGCGTGGTGTGGGGTGGCCAATGCGCCAACTGCAAACTATATCTTACACCGAACTGAGGAATTAGCCGGATAGCCCATATGCGTGGTATTCCGGTTACATGACCAAGTGTGCTCTTTCTTTGTGGGCGGGAAACTCGACATGCAGGCAGAATGAGTGACCTCTATGAGCATTTGAACTAGTATTAGTGAAGGAATGTTAACGTGCCAATGTAAATCAATGGCAGATTGAATATTACAATGCGATGCCAAAAATGAGTGAGTGAGCGAGCGAGAGTGTGTAAAACGAGCGATCGAGTCGTATGGTGCATTGAGGAAGAATAAACTGCGAGGAAAGGCGATGCTAACTGGTGCTCAGCTGTCAGTTCCTTATGAATTTAATTTGTCGTGGCATCGGTGTACTGAGTGGTGGCGAACCCGACTCGAGAGTTTGTCGTGTCGAACACCGAGTAAAACCGCTCGCTATGGAAGAATAATTCAGTATTTTATTTTCCCGAAACAAAATTGTAGCTCAACGTACAGGAAACAGTAGCCATTCGTGAAATCCAAGCCAGAACCGCTGGGAGTCCCAGTGCTACTAACAACCAGGTATATACCGTCGGTGGTACCGCCAATGGCGCTGTTCAACGATCGAGGCCAGATTTGCGCATTCGGGGTGAGCTCATAAGTAACCCCACCAATAGTGAAATACAAGGACGAGAGCTTCTCGTACTGGTCGGATGAGATCTGTAACAAACCAACCTCCGCATTATAGGTCGCCCCCGTGGCAGACTGATATCTATGGAACGCATCTGAATAGTGGATTAGAAGGGTTTTCATGTCATACAGGACACCTACCGGAGGCAAGCAGAATCAGGGTAGTTCCGGTATCGACAATACCAGCTGTCTCATCCAAAATGGGCATAGGCCCATAGCTGATGGATTGATCAATGCCCCAATATCCATTCGCTGGAGATGTCGATGTGATGGGCACGTAGCTAACGTCTCCAGTGATTTTGGAGGTGTCATAACCACCGAATGTGAGCTCGCCACTGCTATCACCCGAGGAAGCAGGTGCAAAGAACACTCCAAGTACTTCCGAACCAATCGTTCTCTGCTTATAGAGGTTGTCCGTCACAGTTGCAACTTCGTATGTATTACTAACGGTGCCCTGCGTTAAATCAACTGGTCCAACGCCAAGAATTCCATCCAGGCCATCCATCCCTGAGGATTCAGATGCGACGCCAATAGATTGGTTTTCAATGACCAGGTCAGAATTGAGCGTTACGGTGTCTGTATATTCCTCTCCAGAAACGGAACCAATTCCATATTGAACACTCTGGAAACGGTTTGACAAATGTACGTGTCACGTAGAAACAAACACTCACGAATGTATTGCCTGTGTCCTTGCTTGTAGCAGTCTTTGCGTAAGCTTCGTTGGCCCCGATCCAGGTATTTGAGCTTCCGGTGTCTACCAGAACTGTGTCTGTATGAAATCGACAATACGTCAGATAAAGAAATTGCAGAACCACGAGCAGCTTACAGTACGTTGCTGGACTCCCTACGCCGATATCAGCGGTGTATGTTGTCACATTATTGGTTAGACTGATGGAAGAGCTGCCGCCAGCTTGTAGGGTTTGGATTCGAGCTCTATCTGCAGCTGCGATGTTCTTGATCCCGTACGAGTTTATTCTAACAGCGAGCTTGAGAGTAGACGTGCTTGACGCTGTCCGAGGATGAGGCAAAGCGCTTGCTGACAGAGAGAAGAAGGCAAGCGCCGGCAGGGCGAGAAGAGATGAAAGTGATCTAGAGGTAACCATTTTCCGATGGCATCCTACTAGTACCTGGACCATTTTATATGTAGAAGCATCATAACGTTACTCCGGAAATATCATGGAGGCGAACAATAGCAAGGTTTCGAATCAACTGCGTTAGCTGCTTGAAATGTCACTAGGCCCGGCGCTCATTGTGTGGATATATGTCCTATGAATTCATCTACGCAGGAAATGAGTCAGTAACTGCAGGGGAAGTCTGGAAATGACCTTTGGATGACCTGCTGAATTTTATTACAGAGCCTGTTTAGCAGAAACCTTTGAGAAACCTGATCAATAATTCATTGAGAAAGGCGTGATTCAGCCCATTTGAACATGTATTTACATAACGTAGATTTTTTTTAAAGTTCAAGTCATATCTGGAAGTTCTGTCCGAGTCGCAGTAAGTACTACTACTAGCTTGATCAGCCGATCAAGCTACAATTTGACATTGTTGAAAAAAAAACAATAATAGCGACTCTTAGTCCAACGGTAGATAATAATGCGAAATTTTCGAGAATTAGTCCTAATTAGGAGCTCAGGAGGACTTAGGACACGAAAAAAGCATACGGCTATATGACCTAGTAGTACTTGCCACCGTCCGACATGCACTGCTACTACAGCCTGCGATCTTACCGTTTCCTAACACTGAAGGTCGACGCTCCGTCCTCAACCTCGCACTCACCTGTCGTGCATCTTGCGACCCAGCACTCAACGTCCTTCACTCCCACATAGGAGGTATCTGGCCTCTCATCAAGTTCCTGCCTGATCAACTGGTTTTGTCACCCAGACCTTCCTCGGTTCATATACCCAATCAGTTCCGCCCATCAGTCCTCCGTGCTGCATGCATGCAGATCCTTTTCAATCACAATTTTCGTCGCGATGACTCTGCATACGCACTGCTCCTTGCCAGCACACCCAAAGACGCCTCGCTCTTTCCCCAGCTGCACTCGCTCGCATGATACGACTCACGTATCGTATCCATCCCCGCCCTCAACCTCCTCTTGCCCACCGTCCATACCCTCGCTCTAGATATCACAGATGATCAATTTTGCAAGGCTGTCTTCCAAAACCTCCGTACCACCTCCTTGCATCTCAAAGCTCTTGAATTTGTTGGCGTGGTTGACAAACTGGCAACCTCAGAATTGGAGTCCTTCCTGTTCAGCTATCCTGAGGGTCTCACCGAACTTTCGATCAGATGCTTCCGTAAGAACATCTCAAACGCCTTGCTCGAAGCTATCGCTGTATGGTCACGTCTCCAATACCTCACTCTCCAGATAGGATTCAACAGCATGCCTCTCCATGCACACCAGCCTTTTCAGGCACTCACTCACCTGCATACTGAGCCTTTTCTCATCCTTGCTGCATTCTATTTCCGGGACGGATTCTGACTCCGGATGCCCAAACCTCGAGAAAATTTACAATATCGCACTCCGTTGCGGTCCCACCGGTATCTGGTCCGAACTCCTCACTATCCTCGCACGCACAAAGCTAGAGCACATCTCGATCATCGAGAGATGTAACACTGAGCTCCACCCGTGCTATATAGGACCAAATTTTTTTGTCGTAAATATCAAAACCCTCCTCATCTTCCCCGCCCACGGCGGATCCATTATACTTACAGATGCCGATGTCCGCACGCTTGCTCGTGCATGCCCACACCTCTATTCTGTTAGCCTAGGGAATCACAACACACCTGTGTCCCTGGGTGCGCTGGGTTACATCGTGAGACGCTGTCATGAGCTGTGCGAAATCTCGCTATGTGCGGACGCGCGGCTCGATGCGCTCGGGACAATACCTCTGGACGATGACGAGCAAATGCACCTACAACCTAATAGACGCCTGAGGAGGCTGGCCATTGGAGGGTCGCCCATTGCATGTGTGGGTCCGTTGAACCCGCCGACTGCACCAGACCTGATGATGTCCATCCCATGGTTCCTGCCCATGATAGCACTGCGACTTGCGAAACTCGAAATATCCTTCGAGTTGCATTTCGAGTGGACATATCGCAGGTACATGAATATGGCGTCAATCAATGATACGGTGAGGTGGAAGAAGGTGGAGGATGTCTTGTCGGAGTTGGCACGAGGGGACACTGACTGATGGTTTTGATTTTCTTGTCGATGGGAGCAGTGTCATGAATAGAAGAACATGTCATAACACCATGCGGGCTACGAACAACAGCACAGCAATACCTAGAGAAATGACAAGTGTAATAGTATAGACGTAGTATATTGACTGCTGCTTATCGAGTCCACCACTCTCGCGCTCTGGACCGAACGAGTAGCTTGATCAAAAGGGCGCGGCAGAATGGACTCTCGACAAGGCTGGCCGGCAAGATGTTGAAATCGGTACTTGTGGCAAGATCAGCGATGCCTTCGTCGTGCAGCCTCGTGCTTGAGCTTCTCCGTTCAGCGTAAGAAAGGCTAGAAAATCTGTGGTCAACTAGTGGTGATTGTGATATGTATTTTGCCATATATTGTGTTTATCATGTAAATGATCTCCAAAGGACATATTACCTACAAGTCGTCTGTTGACCGAAGAACACCGACATACGTTCTCCTCGATCCATGTCTTGAAATAAGCATGCACTTGTCGAGAGGACAGACTCTCGGCAATCTAGCGCGATATCTCAGTTGTCTTTGTGCGACGGCGAGGGTTGCATGTCGAAGTCCTCGTCATCAAACCTCGATCCGAAATCAGACTTCCGTATCGTTCGCACTCGACTTTGATGGATGAATAGATGTCTGCAAGATGCGGAAGGACTCTGAAATTTTTGGGCTGGAGTTCATTAACAAAACGAATAGCTCATATGTTGAGCAATGAGCAGCTCACCTTCGAGTCTGATAGATCGGCCCTCGAAGCTGCCAATGATGAGAAATAATAAACAAGCAACACAGATCGAGGGTGAGCCGAGTGGAAGCCACTGGGGAATCGTCGTAAATTGGTCGCTTTGTCGATGTCCTTGAGGAGTAGTAAGACCAGATGGAGTCGGACGAGGGGCCAGGAGTGGACTCATTGATAAGCACAGAAAAGGATCGATAAGGGCGTAGGTCACTTTCAAGGATGCATCGACATCGGAGATGTTTCAGTATCAATTCCCTTGTCAAAATTTCTCAACAAGATGGACGTACACATTAGTCTAAAGTGTCTTAGTGAAGATGATGGAGAGGATATATGTTCGTTCTTGGCAGCTACAATATCTCCAACGTCCTAACATCCACCATGTCCCTGACTCGTGTGATGATGTCCTGATCCGACGCGATCCTCTTGACTGCCTGCATCGGCAACGCGGAGAATGAGAAAGTTGCTTGTTCCTCGAAAAGCATGATAAATATACACGAGCCAAAGTCTTCATACAACACTCAAAGATGAGACAGATCTACACTTGCTGTAGATGCAGCATCGTATTTGAGGCTGAAAATGACAAAATTCATGTTGGGTAACTTCGAGAGTCGAGATATGCATGGATTGCGCGATCGATCATGACTTGTAGTACTGTGAGTACAGAGAGTTGGAATGAGAAATTTCCAAGACTAAACTCTCTGTACCACACAGATTTACACGATGAGTACTGAGAGTCTTTGAACTCTGCAGTTCACCAATTGCAGGAGACACGTCGATGGGAAACCTTCATGCTTGGGATTCGTTGGATACGCGCTCAAACTCCGTTTAAAATTTACCACGCTTCTGTCCCGAATAGTTATACGGTGAAGACAGGGAGCGCCCATTTCGTCTTCCTCCCAACTTCTCCGGTCAACAAGACTCAAGTATTCGTCGGTCGTTGAAGTTCAATATGGCACCCTCAGATGAACTCGAGTATCTGAAGCACCTCGTAGCGCAGCTCAATGACAAAATTCACGCGCTAGAGGCGAAGGCGAAAGCTTCCGTTTCTCCGACGCCTGCCCAACAGCTTAGGACTATTCTTATGGGTCCTCCTGGTGCTGGTCCGTCTCTTTTACTTGAATAATGATGTTCCGGTGAGATGTATTAACGTTTATAGGCAAGGGAACGCAAGCCCCACGGATACGCGACGATTTCTGCGTCTGCCACCTCGCAACGGGCGACATGCTCCGCGAGCAAATTGCCAAGAAAACTGAGTTGGGGAGGATGGCTAAGAAAGTCATGGATGCCGGTGAACTTGTCACGGACGATATCATGGTCAATATGATCAAGGATCAGCTTGAGAATAACAAGGAGTGCAAGGATGGGTGCGTTTTATCTATACCTTTTTTATTCAGTCGCGTCGGTTCTGATATGGGGCTCAGATTCGTATTGGACGGGTTCCCGAGGACCGTGCCTCAAGCTGAGAAACTCGATTCCATGCTCGATTCCCGCGGTGAAAAGCTCGACAGCGTCGTCGAGCTCCTCATCCCCGATCAACTCCTCATCTCCAGAATCACCGGCCGTCTCATTCACCCGGCTTCAGGGCGGACGTATCACAGAGAATTTCAGTACGTCTCACACTAACGCTGTGCACTCATTGACGCTAATACATTCCGGTATTACATAGTCCGCCTAAAAAACCTATGACGGATGATGTCACCGGCGAGCCGCTTATCCAGCGGTCCGATGACAACGTAGAAACGCTGCGCAAGCGTCTCGACACGTTCCATAAACAGACTGGTCCTGTCGCAGCGTACTACAAAACAAAGGGCTTGTGGCAGGGTATCGACGCCGCTCAAAGTCCTAGTGTCGTTTGGGATAATCTTCGCCAAGTGTTCCGGGCTCCACCGGCAAAGTCGTAATATATCGCACGCTCTTGGGCTCCACCGGTGACCATACATAGACCGTCTCTTTCGTGCATAAACTGTTGTACACAGTGCTTTTCATCTACATATTTGCGCTTGTCAAACAGCATGTGCATAGAGCACCAAACTTGCGAGATACAGATAAGGCGACTATCGACGCATGGTGGTGATATTTTACTTCGATAACTAAGCACGGCTGAGCAATTACTCTACTTTGGAACCCTTCTTCCGCTCGCCTTTGACATCTCCTGCAAGCCACAAAGCTGCAAAAAGGAAAAATCCAGCGCTGGTGCTGATAGCTCCTGCATAATATGGCCACGCGGCGCTCAAGAAACGGGGATATTGGTCATGTCTCGGCGGCACGACAGGGACGGTCGTGCTTGATTCGAGGTATGAGTAACTAATTATGAATTGATTGGTCAAGGACGTCAACGCGGAGATGAAGTAATGCACTAACCCCTTCCTCTTCCAGTTCAGGACAAACTTGAAAACACCGTGTCTATCAGGAGCGCGAAACTGGACTTGGTATGCACCAGGGGAGCCAGGAACAGGTGGAAGAGAGGTGCGGATGTGAGGATCGAGCATGGTGAATTCTAACTGCAAGTCGTCGATGCCGCTGTAAGGTTTCCATGTAGACGTCTCGCTGTCGTACGCAGAGATATGCGCTGTATACACCTTTCACAAGACATTACGTCAAGCAAATACCATGAAACCAGCAAGCAAAACTTACGATCTCATCATTAGTAGTATACATCTTTGGCACCTCGCTCTCACCAACTCGACGATGATCAACCGCATCGATCCTCAACTTCAACTTCTCCTGGAAAACCCAGGCAGCCACATCCGTCGCGAACAAAGCGTTCCCAGGAGGCCCCCCAGAAGGAAGCTCCTTTGTCGCATATTCGTCGCTGAACATCTTTACGCCACCTGCGAACACCACGCGCGAGTTTACGTTCGTTTGGAATCCAGTAACTAAGCCCATCTGACTTCCGGCCCAGAGGCCTTCACCGCCTTTTTCGGAAGCGGTTACGAGGGCGTCGCTGTCATCGTCGCTTGTGGAGTCGGCAGCGAAGCTTTCTGCGGGTGCGCGGAGAATGGGAACGAGCATGGGGGTAGAGCCTAGTGCATGAGGTGCGCCTGTAAACCAGACTGGGGGTATTCCTGGGGTGAGGATTGGGCTTGATGATGAGACGGTGACAGGGATTGTGGTTTGGGGCTCTGAGCGAGCGGGGTGGTGAGAGATAAGTGGTGTTTCTGGAGGCGGGAGGATGAGTGAGAACTCTGCCGCGAGACTTGTGAGGGGCGTTTGTTTCGGAGAGAGCGCGATGAGGAGGTTGGTGTTCTCTGAGAGGAGGCCTACGAGTGACTGGGGAGTGATGTCTTTTGCATACGCTGTGATTGAATTGAGGTCAGCAGGTTTGTACTTTATACTTTGTACGCACATTTTGTGTCTGGTGCGAAAAGAATGACGTGGTCATAGTTTGACACGCCATAGTCGGTGATGGCAGGACTGGTGTCTTTGGGAGCACGGAACGTTAAATTATAGCCTCGTTCTGTCAAAGAGTCAGATGACACAAAACAACCATTAAAACTAAACACATACTTTCAAGTCCACCAAAGAAAATCGAATAGTTCTCCCTGTCTAATGATGGGTCGAGCACTACAAGAACAGAACTCGAACTTGCAAAACTGAATGTTGTAAGTGTAAGGAGAGTTACGAGCGCAGAGCTGAGAAGCCGCATCTCTGTGGTATTGTTGATGAGACCAGCGTTAATGTCGCGGCCTTCCACGTCTTGGTTGTTCTATTTTTGGACGTGTTTGAGCGTGGTTGTGTAGCCATGTTTGGTCCCGTTGCCAAGGATTGGTTTGAGCAGCGCGAGACAAACTTGGCGTTCAATACAGTAGTCTCCTACTAGCTAGCCCTACTTGGTACCTGTGGGTTGGGGGTGCGCTTTAGGATGTGATTCACTTGTCGTGTCAATATTCGAATTCCTTACCAGGCTTAAAAGCTTCACGTCCGTTTTGACGAGCTCCAGTCACACCACCAATATTTCTCAATGGATTCTAAGGGTCTAGCTGTTTGCAGTGGATTAGCCACCAGACGAGCGCCTACTGAGTACTCGTCCTTTAAGCTTCAAATCCTATCACCTTTCCATAGATTGAAACATCCATTCAACCATTCAATTTCAAGAGTCGCGCCTCGCGTTCACCATCACCCGACAGCTTGATAATCGCGCAATCTAAGCCCAAGAAAGTTTGGATTCAAATCCTCGTACGTTGTCTCTTGAATTAACCATCGCCTGGAGGATTTCTAACAGCACCCTCGAACCCAGTTAGTACTTTTAGTTGGTTCGCTTATCACAACGCCGACCTTCATCAATGAGTAGCGATCAATGTCAATACTTCCATCTCTTATCTCTCGCATACTTAATCTCTAACCTCTTCGGTAGTTCTTGATGAAATTTGGCTAAAACTCTCCCAGGTTGCTGTCACAGGTGCCCAATACAACTCTGGTGAACGTTTGCCCCACCCGAAATGTTTGAAGGGGACCCGAGTTGATCTCCTCAAATACATCCACGAATCATTGGATGACCCAGAGAAAAATCAACTGATTTGGCTGCATGGCACGGCTGGTGTCGGAAAGTCTGCCGTCGCGTTTACAGTTGCTGAAACGATGAGAGGTCTAAAAGTGACCGAAGAGACGAACGTCGAAAAACGGCTAGCGGGAACATTCTTTTTCTCGCGCAAGCACACAAAGCGTTGCACGGCTGGACATTTCTTTGCGACGCTTGCCTACCAGCTTGCCACCAATTTTCCAAGCATCCGGATGGATGTGAGCAGAGCGATCCGCAACAATCCTGCACTATTAAACACAGATACGCCTCTCCGCGACCAGATGGAGGCTCTCTTTCTCCAACCCCTCCGGAAACTTCGACTCAGATTTCCGGGATGTCCGCCTTTGTCGTTTGTTGTCGATGCGCTCGATGAATGCACATCTAAACCCGAGATTACTGATCTCATCCTTTCCCTTGCACAGGCTCTTCGTGAGCCTGACCTTCCCGTGACCCATATTTTGCTCACAAGTCGCTCGGAATCCCATATCCATAAAGCCTTCCAGAACGAAGAGGTGCGCCCGTTGGTGCGCGAGATACCCGTGAGAACTTCTGGGGACGGCATTTCGTTGGACGGCGTAGATGTTGACAACGACATCTGTACTTTCTTACAGCATTCCTTTGAAGAGCTAGAAAGTCGCCATCCCGATTTCCCTAAGCTATCGACGGATGATCTTGCGAAGCTGGCGAGCCGAGCGGGCAGACGTTTCATTGTAGCGTCTACGATGATGAAGTTTATTATCGACGATGAAGACAAGGATCCCCGCGATCTATTGCAGCTGATGCTCGAGCTGACAAGCAAGCTGCTACCAGGAACGGAGGTGTACAAGTTTTACGACTGTATCCTCTCCACATGTGCCGACCCCAAGCGTGCTTACATGCACTTGTCCATTGTTGCTGCCCTCACAGACCCTCTTCCCATTTCGCAAATCTCATCACTTCTTGGCCCTGGCTTAGGCAGGGATGTGCAGACAACGTTGATACAGCTACGGTCTTTCGTGGATATCCCTGGAGCCAGCATTCTCCCTGTGAATATTCATCACTCTTCCATTCGTGACTACGTTTCCAACCCCTCAAACTGCAGCCTCCCTCAAGTCCGCGAACACGATATGCCATCACCCTACTCCCTACTCGCTGATTCCTCTTTTCGCTTGATGATGAAAGAGATTCCTGAAAGCACAGCTCTCTTGGATGCGCTCTCAGGACTGATGAAGCAGAGCAATGCAATGGAACATAAGGATCACAGTACATTAAAAAACCAATTAGCCTTCCTCGTTCGGGCACCCGAACCGGTGTCTGTTCTTATCTGCATGCTATGGCTTCGGGGTGATCGCGAGTCAGATATGCAAGTCTGGTTAGAAACCGTGGATGGGAGTGCCTGGCTACAGACCTGGAAGGGGCAACGCTGGCTGAAGACCTCGAAGGGACGAAAGTGGCTGCAGACCCAGGGAGGACGAGAGTGGCTGCAGACAGAGGCAGGATTAACCTGGAAGGTCTCGACCAGTGACTCAGACTCAGACGCAAGCATGCCAGAATTACTATCCGTTTCAGACTCGGAGTCGGACGATTGGAAGGTGGACGGTCGGATCTACCAGAATCGAGATGTCTTCGGCCTTTCAGGCTCGTCATACCAGGTGAAATTGGGGCACAAGCCAAAGTGGCTGCGGACCCAGGGAGGGCAAAGCTGGTTGCAGGCCAAGGAAGGACGACGCTGGCTGCAGGCCAATGGAGGACGAGACTGGCTGCAGAGCTTGGGAGGGCGACGCTGGCTGACTCGGAAATTGGGAGGGCGAAGCTGGCTGCAGACCCAGGCGGGAAGGGACTGGCTGCAAACTGAGGGAGGACGGGACTGGCTGCAGATTCAGGCAGGACAGGACTGGTTGCAGACTCGGACAGGATGGGATTGGCTGCAGACCCAAGCAGGACGGAACTGGCTGCAGACCAAGGCAGGACGAGACTGGCTGCATACCGATGCAGGACGAGACTGGCTGAAGTCTCCGGACGGGCCAGAATGGCTGAAATCCCCAGACGGGCAGGACTGGCTGCAGACGTCCCATGGTCAAGCGTGGATATCCACTCCTGCGGCGTCCGTCTGGGTGACTTTGGACGAATTCTCAAGTATGTTGGAAGCAGTCACCCAGTTTACCATTGTCCAAGAATTATGTTTGCTACCAACCTTTCAAGTGGTCCGGCAGTTCAAAAGCTTGCCAGACTTCTTAATGTTCCCAGTGTTCCTTGCGTTAAGCCTTCCACTGCATCATCAACATATCGTCCACCAAACAGGGAGATCGTTCATGCTATGAACGCCTTCATGAGTTTCACATACAAGGCGCAGCGCATCAGTCAATTATCTTCCGATGCTCTCAAGTACGCCTGTCAAAACTAGGCCACCCATCTCTCGCGTGCTCCAGATCCACGGGATGAAACGCTCAACTACATATTCCAGGCTTTCTTGGATCGTTACCTCCTTTCCTGGCTCGAATGGCAGTGGTGTTCAAAAGGTCTGCGGTCATGCCTTGTCATCTTATCTGAAGGGCAGAAACTTGTTAAGTGTATTCCAGGACCCTGAGAGGAGACTGGTTTCCGGAAGTTGGCTCTGAAATATTGATCATTCCAAACCTTTTATAGTTCATAGCGGCTTACGACTGTCTCTTTTTCTCCTCGCTCAGTTATCAGCTTGCAGTCTTGATTGCCAATGGTTTGTTCGACTCATTCAGGATATACTAAATAGATACATGTAAATTTAGTATCAGTGGTTTGACTCACTGGGTTTCTTTAAAAGCCTATTTAATTTGAAAAGCAAGCACATGCTGAAAATTGACTGTCATTTGAATCAGAAACCTCCGTGACCCTGGACCGTGGCGAATAGGCTAGAATTAAATTGATTCTAGTACTTCTTGCATACGGCCTTGATTCATATCTTGCCGGCAGGGCTCTGTTGACGTAAATTTAATATCTTCCGCGTTATTGCCGCGAGGTTCACTGGCTGGCAGCTCACAATTTTTCACGATGGCCTCAGAAGAAAACTCTTTACTGGCAGTGCCCACCGCGCATGAAGCTATTTATGGCAGATTCGCGCCAGATCAAAAGAGGTGGATTGTGTTTCACGTGTCTTTTGCGGGTTTGTTGGCTAGTGAGTACTGGGAGTTAGTAAAGTGTACTGTTTGACGCAGATACTGATGGAAATGATTGGTCAGTGTTTGTCCAAGTGACGTTCGTGCCTTCCATCCCTCAGATAGCTAAAGATCTCGACTCGACGCATGCTGTCGTTAGGTGTGTGTTGTATGCCCATCTGATATGTAGTTATGATCGAGCTATTTCCCAGCTTGGCTTTGAGCCTATCGGTCTTTGCTAATGCCATCGGAGCGTTATGTTGGTCTTCTTATTCGTCTTTCTGTGCGTGTGTCTTGCACTCATTATAGTTTTTATTCTAACACCAGTCCTACAGACGGACGCCGATCGATATATCTGTGGGGAATGCCGTTTCTATGTGTTGGGAGTTGTGGTGTAGCGCTATCGACTTCATTGCAGAGTCTGTTATTCTGGCGATTCGTGCAGATGTTTGGATGCGCTGGAGCGTTGTCGTTGGGGTCAGGTGTAATTGGCGACATTTATAAACTGGAGGAGAGGGGGACCGCTATTGGGATATTCTTTAGTGTGAGGAATCATGATGATTGAATGTTTTTTTTCGGTTTGGTATTGACACCGCTATCTCAGGTCACACTTCTCGGGTTCACTTTTGCCCCGTTTGTTGGAGGTAAATATATTCTGGATGTTTATGGCCGCTGACTCTAGTGACGTATTTGGTCAGGTGCGGCGACACAGTACTGGTCCTGGCGCAATTTGCATTATTCCATTGGTGCATGGGGCTTACTCGAGATGCTTTTCATATATCTTTCGTTTCCTGAGACGAGTCATCCCGGCACATTGGGTATTGATAAACTGCCGTTCAGGAGACGGATTCATATCAAATGGATTAATCCTCTGAGCAGTCTTTGGTTGCTTCGCAGTCCGAACCTATTTGCGGTTGTGAGTGCATTTACCATGTGCTACATACTACAAAGTCTTGATTTTGTGCGAGATTTAGATGCTTGCGTCAGCTCTAATGGTCAACACCATGTATGGTGTGTTGTTACCTTTTACTGATCGTGCAGTACATTCTCACATAAAACCATGTAGTTCTCCTCGTACCGATAGCAAAGACTATTGTAAGCTGACAATCATCTTCCATCTCGCATCCTGATCGCGGTATAGGGCGTCCGGTATGGAATCACGAACGATGCCATCATCGGGGCGTTTTTCCTCCCAAACGGACTGGGATGCTTCGGTAGGTGCAGAGCATTATAGTCACAGTGCACCAACATGACCTTGAACAGGCGGAACTCTGGTTGGTGGCCGCCTGTCTGACATTGTAGTCAGAAAATGGCGGGAGAAGCGCAGAGGAGCGTATTGTCCCGAAGACCGCTTGAGAGCGACCTGGATTGGAGGGCTGCTCCTTGTCCCATTATCTGTTGGGGCATCGGGCCTGATCACGACGTATATTGGGGGCCCGACCGGCCTTGCGCTGAATATATTATGCCTGTATGCGAATGGAGTGGGGGTAAGTCATGCAAGCTAGATCCCCTCACTTGTGCATAAAGTAATTCATTGAATTTATAGGTCGAGTTAGTGTTGAATCCTACTAATTCTTATAATGTGGACATAGTGCATTCTCGAAGCGCAGAGGCCGCAGCTGCTTGCATGTCAGTCTCCATAATATCGCCTGACTATCAAACTTGAACTCGTTCATTTACCTGTCAGGGCGAGCTGGTCGCTCATCATGTCTGTTGCCACTGCTCTTATCATTCCAACGATCGAGCGCATAGGTGTTGCGTGGACGGATATCATTGCTGCTGGCCTTGCGGTCATTGGACAAGGGTAAGGGTCTTTTTGAATGCAAAATTGGTGATACTGACATAACACGGCTTCAAAACTTCTTTCCTAGGATGATTTTCTTGACAATTCGTTATGGTGATAGCATGAGGGCGAGTATAGATGTTGGTTTCTCGATCATGGAGAATAATTAACGGATTGATCTTTGTTTATCTGAAAGGAAACAATGTATTATAATCAATATATGTGGAACAATATACTCGTCATCATTGCCAACAAAGAAAATAGAATAGTCTCCCTGTCTAATGATGGCCCGAGCACCATAAGGACAAAACTCGAACTCGAAACACTGAATTTTGTAAGTGCAAGGAGTCAAATTTATTGTCCTTTGGGGTCAAAACCCTGAGTAGGACATAGCCCTTTTCGCGCGGGGGTTACTCCCGCTCATTCTACCATATGCAAGGAAAGCTACGAGCGCAGAACGGAGAATTAATTATTAAGCTGCATCTCTGGATGCCAAGTTCCTAGCGGCCTACGTGTTCGATGTTCTATTTTTGGATGCATGTGAGCGTGGCTGTGTCGTGATGTTTGGTGCCGTTGCCAAGGCAAACTTTGACAATCGGAACACTCTGCAGTGACTCATAAGTCATACGTGTTATCTTTCTGATGCATAACCTTTTTATTATCACAATATCCTACTAACGTACCACGCCACGCTCGCTCTGGCCTATAATCGACATTATCAGCAAGTCCAGCGAAGGGTTCTCCATGGTGTTGTAAACACAGCATGGGCAACTCCTCGTTGTACCTGCCACGTTGTCAGGCGCAGTGCTCATTAATCACCCAGGACTCGCCTGATGTTTCTGTTGCATTGTTTTGCTGTCACTTATCTCAGTCTTCAGCCACAAATTACATCCTGTAATGGTGAACAGGCCTTGAGCGAAAATCTTTGCAGCCACAGAGGAAGCCGATCGCATCAAGTATATGGATTGAAATAAGCACATCAGTCCGTGTTGCAGCACCGATTTGCCCTGATGGGCCAGATGGGCACCAGAAAAGTGACCAAGATCATGCGAGCAAGGAAAGGTTGAGTTACTACATACAAGTGAGCCACTTTTTGATTGATTTTGATCGTGCAAGCACCAGTCTGAATGCCCGTTCCAGTATCTTATGGGACAAACCGTGAATATAAAGCAAGCTGCACAGTCGGATTTATGACGAAAATTTCTTTATCTACCTGCTACTCTTCATAATTGCAAATTGTACGTGGACAACTTTGGTGACGAGGTTGAAGATTGTAAATTATTATCCACAGCGTGCTGGCTTTGCCGCATTTGACTCTTGATTGCTGGAGAGCATCCGGGAACCGGAGATCGTCGTTGATCGTGGGGTGAATCGACTTGGGTCCCAACCTGAACGTTAACACCAACCCTTGCCATCACCGAAGCCTTCAATCTCAAACATGTTGGCCACACCCGCGAAGGCAACTCGTTTTCTCAAGCGTCTCGTACGATCAGCTAGCTTGAGAAATCCAGCCAAAAAGGTGACATAACTATTGAATTTTAGTGGTCTCGTGTTGACCGACAATGCTTTCTAGCCTGTGATATGGTTCATTGTATTCTTCTACGTCTGCTTAGCCGCATTCATCATCACACTCACTCCAGGTCGCATTGCTCAATTCGTGTATGATGCCGGCCAACACTTCCGACATCTTCCATATGGGTACATGATTCTTATCCTTGTTATGAGTAAGCATGTCTTGTACGCTTTCATCTGATGTTCAAACATGATTCCTCTCAGTTGTCGCATCCTTCCCCCCTTTCATTGGACATGGCATACTCCTTTACTTGTTCGGTTTCACATACGGTATACGGGGCGTCATCCCCGCGGTAATTGGAACACTGGCAGCATCCGTTATAGTTTTTGTCACCCTTCGGATGATGTTCAGCAAGAGGCAGCGTTTGTGGACCCCCACTCACGAGAAATGGCAAGCTCTGGAAGTTGTCATAGTCAGTGTTGTTTCATTAGCATTGGCTTATTTGCTTAGTAGAGGATGCCTACAGCGATCAAGAGGTATGCCCTTGATCATACTCATCCGTATGTCTTCACTTGTGCCCTGGGCTTGGTCAAACTCGCTATTCGCAGTAAGCTTTTCAATTGCCAGTAATTTGGATCTAATGCCTTCACAACAGAGCATATCGTCGGTATCGTTGCTCCAGTTCTTCATAGCGACTTGTTTTGTCGTCCCAAGGGTCGTGATACAAGTGTTCATCGGATCTCGTGTTGCCAGACTCTCAAACAGCAAACTGAGAAATCGCAACGTTGCCCGTAAGAACTCATGACATGCCGTTCTGCTCTCATTGATTCACGGCGCGCAGAAGCAAGGTTTTTCAACAGCCTTCTCATTGTCGGTAGTATTCTGTCAACTGCTTTAGCCAGCTCGTTCGTATCCAGGTCACCGCTATTCTGGATCTTTTCTCACAATGTATAGGCTGGTCTATTATTTCGTACAGAAGGAGATCAAACATTTACGTGTCAGCTCGTCAAAGCGTGACGAAACAGCTGCAGAGACATTTGGGGCAACACAGGAAACAGCTTTTTCTGACTCCACAGTTTGACTCTTACTTCCTTACTGAGCTTATCGTAGTAAGCTGCCTTATCTTGGTGGTGGAATAAATATTATCCACCCGCACTGTTGTGTTCTCGATGGATGGATCCTGCTGACCGTTGCTGTAGCAAAACTTGCTGCCAAGGACTGAGTTTCAGATCAGCAAGAACAGCACGTACTAATTAGGCGCACCAGTAGGATTCCCATCACGATTGGACAAACACTAGTGAAGCAACGCGCTACAAAATTTGGTGGCTAGTCATGAGTTATAAACTATTTTTTATCAAACTGACGCCCGTGAGCCAATAGTCAAAGCATGTGTCTTCAAGGGGCGGGGTCGAGAACGAACGGCAAGTGAGGGCGCTTGCGGATGGCAAAACAGGAGTGTCTCTGAATGGTGGGGTCGAACCCCCAACGTCAGGTATAAAATCTCAATTCGGAGCAGATGGTGCAACTACACACACCACCACGCCCCTTTGGAGACTAGACGCAGAAGCGAGGATGGCAGTATATATGAACTTGTACTGTTAACGCATGGCAAAATATGTATCCCATCTAAGAGCCTTTAAGGGGGGAGGGGGGGTCAAACTCCCAACATTGGGTATAAAAACTTACCAAAGCGAACGATACAGTTAGATACCATTGCACTCGGCACTGGATGGTCGGTTTCACATGACTTTTCCCCCCACTGCGTCGTATACGTACAAAAAGTAACGATCACTGCTAAAATACATTGTACCAAACACAAATTCCGGTCATCGATCCTTTATATCATGAGACGAGATGTCTTCACAATCTCGAGCATCATGCCCAGAGCGATCAATCCAAAACTCTGAGCTCCAAACATGCCCGGTTCTTCCTTCAGGTTATCTTCTGCTACACACCACGCCGCCCAACAGCGCTTGAACGTTTCTGCCATCACTCGCCGGTCTGACTCTTCATAATCTTCTTCCTCGTCCGTTCCCGTCTCTGATGTCTCCTGGTCCTCCTCGTACGACGTTTCGGTTCTTGCTGCAGAATTCTCCCCCTGAAATTCTTCTCTTACTCTACGAACGAGTTCTTGCGTCTGAAAATATTGTTAAATAACCCATGATATAGATTGAATGTTGCGCTGACCTGCAAGTTCATCGCAGAGACTGTATTCCGCCGACGTTGATGATCGGACCAAGTTGCCATGATGGTCCCGCTCACCAGTTCGGCTTCGGAGACGTGAATGTTCTTGTTTTTCGACATTGTGTGTGCTTGCCCGACGATCAGTAGCTGCTCGCAATATGCATTGAGTAGATATGTGATCTCCTCCATCAGCTCTTCACTCGGATCGGGCAATCCTGGAAGGCCAAGATGACGGAGGTCTACGTAAGAGAGCGCAGCCTCCACAGTGGCTCCGTCGGATGGAGAGGAACTCCCATTCCATGCAGGAGGTATTACTCTCTTCATTGGTACCCGACGGTAAAGTTGACCCAGAAGCTTTGTGCTTTTGTAGTACTGCCCGCCGGTGATATCAGCGCCTTCTTTGGCAAGAAAATCTGGCCTGGCTTGAGTCTTCCGAAGCCAAGGTAAGGATCTGAAGTTAACAGGAGTGCCGCTCTTTGGAAAATCAAGTGCCTGGGAAGCAAACTTCGCGAGCTCAATGCATTCTCTACAATTTGGAGTATTCAAGTCAGAAAACCTGAGATGACTTATGGCGATGGGGCCAATGAGGTCGGCCTGAATCTATTTTTCACAGTTCATCTCGCAGTCATTTTAACTTGAAGTCAGGATGCAACTCACATAGTCAATTACGAAGTCTGCGACATCGGAGATGCCGCATACATTCGGTATCGATCTGATGGTCACTGCCGGATATTCTCCGGGTTCGAACTGTTTCGTTGGTAGCAGCCTCGGCTGCGGAACGCTTAGGCATGAATGGATGCATCGAAACTTTGGGCTTACATCAAGAATTAGGTTGAAAATGTCACCATCAAGATCGCCTCCACCCAGACATGATGCAAGCGCCCGTTCACCCCTGTGGACGATATAATTCAGTGTGCCTTTGTTTTGAATCACGAACAGAACTTACTTGCAGGAAAAAACGACGACATTTTTCAAGTGTTCCAACTCTGGCCGTCGTACAGCCGTCACAACCTGCAGGTCGCCTGGGTGAATCTGTGGGCTGCGCGTTATGGCAACCTGTCCCGTGATGCTCTCAACAAATCCCGTCCTTTCATCAAACACGGTCGCGTATATTTCTCCTTCTCTCAGGCAGCCCCATTCATCGGAAACGCCGAGCAAGGTATACGAACCTGGCACTGATATGTGCGCCCGGTACTTTAGTTCCCGCAGGATGTACGTCTCGACGCACTGCAGAGAGCTTTCAATGAGCTTGTTGGTCCACAGCCACGGGCGATTTTCCGTGTCTCCAATTTCGAGTTGCAAAATGGACGATAGGTTTGCGAAGAGAGATGGTAGATGGAAAGATGCGCCAAGTCCGTGTTGCTGAATAATTTTTGAGGCATCGGCACACGACAATCGGACGGATTGAGCTTTGCGTATGTCATCGTCCTGTAGTTCAATAATTCTTTGAGTGTCCACACCCAAGAACTCCATAAGAGATATGAGCGGACGATTGAGGAACACCGGTATTGGTTCCGCTGATGTCGATTGGACGTCAAATGTGAGATTCTCGGGGGCATCGAACTTGATCTGTGATGGACGAAGGCGGACGAGCTTTCCTTGAATTGTGGGGTCTTGGACGACCATGCCTTTGGCCCCGCCAAGTCGAAATTGGAAGGCCGACGGAACATGTCGTAGCTTCGCGGATCGCTTTTTTCTCTTCTGCATAGACCTCCATATCTCCTTGGCAAGCTCAACTGATATGGAGCTACACCCATCTGTCATGAGCCCGCCTGAAGGCGAGTATCTGTCGGGACAACGAAAATCTACTTCTTCGGGAAGAAGTGTGATCGATGGATCAGTGCCAGAGAAGGCTTGAGACCACCTTGCAGCCAAACGAGCTGGTTGTTTGTGAAGTTTGGAGAAATCGCCCTAATAGTTGCATTCAGTCCAAGATATCGAGGAAAGCCGATGGCAAGAACTCACCAAGTTGTCTCGTATTGCTTGTGCATTCAGCAATTTCCCATCCTCATCCTCGAATGGCGTAACAAACCACACCGAATGTTCTTTCAGACCGCTCATAGAATATCCCAAGAACTGGAATTGGCGTCCAGCGACGCGACAGCCATCGAGGAGGATATTGCGATATCGCACCCTCAAAAGGTCTATAATGGAGCAATCGGGTTCCCGATGAAGTTTCGATCCATTCTCGTCCTGGAAACAGACACGCAGGAAGCACTCGGAATGTCCGTATCGGCGTAAAACACTATTGGACTGGTCCGGGACAGGTCCCTCTAGGATATACCGCGTGGGCGTTAGGATGAGATGATAGGATAGGTAGACCCCACTCTGTGGTGGCGGAGCTAGAAGAGGACGGGGCTTTTGGTGCTCTTTGATAAATTCTTGGGTAACTCGGCGAAGAAGAGAAGACAAACTCTCTTGACTGGATTGCCGTCGTGCCCGGCGTTTGCGACGTTTTGTACGACTCGCACTGCGTCCTGCAAGCTCTGAGGCAAAGGACCGAAATATTTCCGGCGCATCGTCGCCATGTTCGGCTTGTAATGATAGGATGGCCTCCTTCAGCGAAAGAATGTCCGCCGCACTCAAGAGAGAATCTGCAACAGTCTTTTCTGCTTCGAACCCAAGCTTGTATGGGATCTGAGAGAGTGACTCGTGAAGCTTCTCAATGGATGCACCGTTCGAGATGTGATTATGAATCTTGATATGGTGTTGTGTGGAGCAACGCAGATGGAGACGATTGCGGCATGTATAAGTGAACCTATCTGCCTCTGACTGGTTTTGAAAGGCCAGCATCAGACTATGACATCCCGGAGGCATTTTATGATTACGCCCCAAGCCCGCCATACGACTAGCGTTGTCCACTATGTCATTAAGCAAGGTGTACACAGGAGGCTCATCGGCACGAACGAACACAATAGTGGTATCTTCATCCCGGTTACCCACTAGTGTTGCGATATTATGAGGCGCATAGGATGCATTGATGGATGTGGTGATGCTTCGTCCAAAAATCTCCATCAAAGGACCGAGATTAATGTCGGAGGGGTTGTTATATGTGTTTTGTTGAGGCTCAAAGGTGAAGCGTACCTGCCGATGCTCCAGATCACAAATCACGTTAGCTGTACCAGGAGGGGACACTTGTGAAGAAAAAGATCCGTCCCGGAGGAAACGGCCGAACGAATAGCGGAGAAGCTGGAAAGACTTGTTTCTCCTAAGAAGCCTTTCCTGCTCTTCTCGCAACTGCATTGGGTCGCGCCATGGAACCTTATTCAACCTCTCAATACGGGACTCGTGGATCGCCTGCGTGCTCCTGCTGATGAGGATTGGTCGACCTTTGACGACAATCCCTGTGACACCATGAGCACGCAAGAAGGTGACCCCAGCATCCTCTGTTGGCAGAGTGAGGGTGCCTTGCTGTCCGTTAGGGTGTGATTCGTCTGAGAAGTGTATTTCAAAATTCAGGAGAGGACTGGTTTGAAAGGGAGGCTTGTGAAGTATATTGGCGAACGCAATTGCCAAGTCTTCTGTAGTAACTGCCAGAGGGATATTGTGCAAGGAAATTTCCATCTATCCAGTTCATTGTCAAGTATACGTTTAGATCGTGAAAGGGTCACTCACATTATGTGACTGTCGAGTGGTAACAACGAGAAAGACGATAGCGTCGGCACTTGAATATAAGCTGGGTTTTGATCATGGACAAACGCCCTACGGAAGCCAAATCCGAAGATAACCACTAATGTAGGTGTAACATCATGGCACGGGGTCATGATACTGCGCACCTTTCCCTTTCCTAACAATCACTCAGTATCAGGCGCCGTGCCAAGCTATCGGATTGGAATGCAAGGCAAATGAAACACCACTTCTTCTCCCCAGCGGTGCTATCGGTCGGCTAGATACATCAATCTATACAATTGACAACTGCGATAGTGAGCCTGTACCGTGATAAGTTCGACGCCAAGACTAGGAATACGGCAATCGTGAGTTTCTCCACCGTTCTATCGTCACTGACTAGGTCTTTTCTAACCTGAGCATCCCTCCTCTGAGCGGCGACGATCAATTCTATCTTTAGTCCCATCTCGCCATCATGATACGGCTCACCTCACGTGCGTGATCTAGGTCTTGTGATAGCGACAAGAAGCCAAGGAAGTGCTATAACCAAGTATTTTGAATGTGATCTGCCAAACAAGATTTGAATATTTATATTTTGATAGGAGAGTATGAGTCAACCGTCCTTGTCCTTCTTGAGATGCGAACTGCCACATGAAAGTAACCATATCCTTCCATGGATCCACAGCATTGGCCTCCAAAACCCCCGAGTCGTATCCTGTTCCAGAAGGTGGACATACTTGGTTATATTGCACTTAACAAAGTTCTTGATTACTTCAGGCAATATACGTGTCTCCTTATCCTTGATTGCTCCATGTTTGGTGGTTGATCCTTCCGGGGCACAGTGCCTTGAAGGGCCATGATCATGGGGCTCACTTCGGACGTGCTTGGTCACCAGAAATTCTGAAACATAATCGTCCACTTCTCCAACATCTTAGAAGAACCCACCGTTTTGCTTCATCCAGAACCGTAGATTGAGCTGTGAGACAATAATTCACCGTTTCAGCAGCTTCCCACGCCCGTAGGTCAACCGTTTGAAGAACATGGCTCCAGAGTATAATACCAGGGGTATCAAGCACGGGCGCTCCAAAACTTTTGATAATGTCCTGGACAGATAAATGAAACGTTAGCAAAGACAAATAAAGCGGTCACCTGGATACTCCTTATCCTGTAATGGAGTACGATCGGCTCATCGACGGCAAGTATGCTCTGGTTTCGGGTTCTTCCTTTGCAAGCAGACCACTTGCCGAAGATAGCAGTACTGAGAGCGCATAAAATAGAACAGAGAGGCGAAGATGTCGTCAAGATGGCGCGTAGCATTACCATTACTGTTGCAGGAAATTAGCTTGGAGTCACCGAGAGTAATAAACATACAGTGCGATGGTTAACTTTGGTTACTGATGGTCAATAGCGCTGTGGCAGAAACAGAAAATAGAAGCTTCGCCGATGTGCATTCAGAGCGCAAGTAGATACCAGGAGGGAGATATCATTCCCACAAATCAGGCTCAAGACTTGAACTTCGGACGTGTTCGGACCTAGAAAACTGATATGAATCTCAATGAAACCTCATCACTGGTCAGAAAGCCTTCCGAAGAATGAGGGGTGTGTAGACCATGTCTTTGACAGCATCTTCAAGTGTACTCCTGCGAGACTCATTGGGCGACATCATCCCGACATGATCATTTGGCAATTTTGCGACGACCTTTTAGGGCACTATTGTGGGACATGGAACTTTGCAGAGAAATACGAGTCATTTAAAGACTACTTGGAGTGGTAAATGGGATCTTATGGGCTAGGCCATTGTTTAGGCCATGAATGAAGAAAAAAGTACAGCTTGGCGGGAGCGTTTGTATAGACTATGCGTGCGAATTTTCACGTCACGTTGACAAAGTTATTATATTTCGTGCAAAGTCGTTACACACTTCTGCCAAAGCGTCTCTCTATATCGTGGTCTGTGCATACCCATTTCGCAGTGCTCCACGACTTGCTGGCACTATATGGTTGACTCCGCCAGCGATTCTCTAGGCCCCATTTCTTCTGCGACCGTCTCCTCAGTCCTCGGCATAAAGGGGTCCCTTCGTTTTCGCCGGCATGGTGCAAGTCAGAAGGCACACGTCGTCCTACGACGCGTAGAACTTTCAGAAGAGTCCGTACATGACTCTGGTAAAAGGCCTGTTGCATACTTTAGCCTTTTTGCGCAGAAAAGAATCGAAGTCAAGCCTGGCAAGGAGATTTTACTAGCCGTAGCTTCCGAGGATGGATCTTTCACAGACCAAGCCGTCATTTTCGAAGGAGATCTTTTTGCTTCAGACACACAACCTGATGCCGAACAGGAAACGCAAGATGATGTCGAACATGTTGTTGAGGTTCCATTCGTCCCTCCAAAAATGAGGAGAACGTGGAACAAGGCATATGAACAGGTGAGCGTAGTGCCAGGTGAGTGATACATGCTTGACCACGGGGGTTCTTTTCAATGTGCTATTCACCATGTAGATAGCGCCCACCGCCCGCCACCTCTACCTGAGCGTGTATCAGTGGGTATCCAGGCTCAGCCATCATGGGCAGTGAGTTCGGTCCAGGCAGTTCCAACAACATCTCCTGTTCGAATTGGACAACACCCATCACTTCCGGAGGACAAAGAAGATTTGAGCCTCGATACACGCCTGTCGGAGGTAGTGGGACTATATCCTGCTCCTCAAAAATTATCTTTATCTCCGACTCTTAATGCTGTTGTGAGTGCACTTTCACTTACTTACAAGCGTGATCCTGAGACACAGTAGATAATGGACGAAGATCGTGAACGTAGCTTGTCACCAATGAGTTTGGGCTCTCCTTCTAGCACCCCTCCTCAATCTCCCATTATCGAGCACATACCGAATATTTTTAGAGTTCAAAGTCCTGTAACAGAACCTCCAAAAAGCTCTCAAGACAGCGGTATGGACCTCTCAAGCGACTCGCAAGATGAGAAGCAGATTGAAGATGATCTTCGCCACCCAGGGGATACTAGCAGTTTACCTGCAGAACCTAGCACTCCCACTTCCGAGACTGCTGACATGGATCTCCAGTCCTCTCCTAGTTCTGCATCTTCCTCGTCGTCTGATATACCTGGTCTTGTAACTGGTTTATCATGGCGTGCACCTGCGCCACCTCAACGACCCGTGGAACCTGGGCTCGAACAGCCAGCTTCACCCCCGAAAACGGTTATTCCCTCTCTTCCGTCTGTGCAACCCTTTATCTCTGAGCGAATACACCCATCTCTAAAAGAGTCTCCACCTTCTGCGGTGCCTCCTACCGTCAATAAACCGACTCTTCCCCCAAAACTCACAATAAGTGTTCCAAAGAAACCGGCGATTGTCAATCCATTCGTTTCTGGTGGATTCATGACAGAGTTTGTTGGTTCGCCTGCATCGCTCACTGCTCAAAAATCGCTACCACCGAAGTCTCGCACCGGCTCACCGAACATGTCTGAGGCACAGGCAAGTGTTACAGTTCTGATCATGGACCATTAGACTCATATGTTAATCACTCAGTCAACTCCTACGCCCATCTCAACGCCTGCACCCCCACGTTCGAATCCTCCACCTCAAGCACCTACATTCGTTCCTGCTTCTTCCACTATGTCCACTTCCCTATCCCCTTGCGCACCTTCATCTCAGTTTTCAACGAAGCCTTCCCCTCCACCTCCAGCAGTGCCTGCAAGACTATCTGCTCAAGAGCAACGTCTTCTTGCAGCCCCCTTACCTCCAACCCCTCCATCTGTACCTCAGCCGCCACGAACTCAAGCATACCCCAGTTCTCTCCCCCCTCGTCCGTCAGAAACGGTGATCGCTTACTCCAATAAGGCGCCTTACAAGCCCGGTTATTCACCTTTAACGTCAGCCAGCGACGCAAGAATATCCTATAATGCTACCGGAACAATATCTAATCCTTTGAACATTCGCCCTTCACGATTTGCCCCACTCAAAGCTACTCCAATCCAATCTCAGCAAGCGCCGAAGAAACCGTTGACAATTGGTAATGGCTGGCCGCACACACGACAGGCTAACGGACATGGCTCTACCTCTATATCCCCTGTGACATCCAAGGCTTTACCACCACCTACAGGTACTCATCGACCCCTCACGCCCGAGAGCACTCGCTCGTCAACAACACCACCAGGTCTATCAAATTTCGTCGCATACACCTCCCCATCTCCTCCTGGTTTTTTGCATAAGTCGCTAAGGGATAAGCCACCAACAGACTCTCCATCCAGTTCCGGCGAGCCCAACGTCAAACACGGTAAGGATGCGTCTCTGTCAGAATCTTTGCTTTTTGTTTATGTCTTTTCAGAATACATGGATGTTCCATTACCACCCACGCCTACGACGACCGTGAAGCAGAAAATCTCAATACAGTCGCCACGACCTGTGTTGCCTGCTTCAACCACGTCTCCCAGCATTTTCCGATTTTCCACTGAGTCCGACAGTGCAACACCGCCGTCCGACAGCAAAGGCAAGAAACGGGCGATGTCTACAGCGTCTGATGCAGAAAGCACGCGCCCGCGGAAGCGCACACATCCCTGGCCCACACAAGAGAGTATGTACTCCACACGGATCAAGAGTGATAGCGATGCTGGCGTCAGAGAGATCGTTTTCAGCTCAGACGGTGAACGGATGGCTGTCGTATGTTCGTCTCTGCTGTTCTTTTTTATTCTCCTACTTGGTGCCAATCTCTTAAATATAGGTCATGACCGGACAATCCGAATATGGAGTGTATCAAACCGAGTCGAAACTGCCCGTCTTGCGCAAAACTCGCCAATATCATCAGTTGCTTGGATGGCGGATGACAATGGTATCATCACACTGGGACAAGATGGTATGATCAGTAAATGGACGCGAAACGCAAGTGTTGATGTTCTTGGTCTCGAAGTTGACTTTAGCTTACCGTTTGAGCCAGAACCAGAATCATTGGCAATGGGCAAAGCTCCTCGATGCGGGGAAGGAGGAATCCATCAGCTTCACCTACAACAGGGATCGCCTTGCTGTTGCATTTCCTCGCTTCGGTGTGAGGGTGTGGCTATGGATCAAAGGTATGTCCTTCTCTCGGGTTTTAGCAAGCATTATTAGATCTGTCACAGGCACATGGCAACCACAGCGGTCCATTCTTCGACAAAATGTGACGTGTATCAAGTTCGTTGAGGATGGTGAGGCATTACTCGGAGGCACTAGCGACGGCGTGTTGTAAGGGTTCTTACAAGTGTTGCACCGGTAACTTCTGATAACATATCGCAACAGATGGTATTGTCAAGTGCCCAATGGGACCCTCCGAGCCTATGCATTTCTCAAAGCTAAAATGCATGAACCTATTTCTGATTGCCTGATCTCACGACTGACATGATCTATGTGACAGACGACATCTGGACGTCAGTCCGAACGGAACACAGGCCCTTGTCTCTCAAGTGGGCGCTCGTGCTCATCTTGTAGGCATTCAAGGGATGGATCGCAAAGGCAAAATCGAGCAGGTATATGCGATGAACGGAGATTCGACGAGTGACGCGAAACAATCCACCCCTGCGGTGTTCGTCAATGGTGGTCGTTCTGTGGTGTTCCATAGCAGAGAGTCTTCTTGTTTGGTCTGGAACAAAATGAAAGGCGAGGTTTTGAGTGGTCTGGATCATGGAGATGGTGAGTCAATTGTGATTATTTCTCGGCTTCTCGCTGACTTCTGATGTAGATGAGCAAACCCAGGCCGTCGCAGTCAGTATACTTTGTTTCCTTTTGCGATGTGTGGTATTGAATTGTGTCATAGGGCTTTGACCGTGCATCTCATTCATACATCGTCACGGGAACTGCACAAGGCCTTTTGTCGTGGTGGAACTCCCCTCCCGATCAGTGACTTTAGGTAAGAACTTATGGTACTACTTTTAGCGCACTTGCTCATCAGGAACATTGTCTCCGTGTCAAGCAACCTTCTTGATTAATTGGGTGAAACATGCTAATCATTCCTAAATTCCCTCTGGAAGGATGCAATGTACCAGTACTTTGCATGTGCAACCTACCTAAATTATGATATGAGCATTCTATAATTTTTGTATGGACATTATGCAGCTACTATCCGTTGTGGTGATTTGAGGATAATTGATTCGGAACCTGTTTCATTGTGGACAAGTCCTCATGATAATGACACTAGTGTTTGGCATTATTTGGCTGATTAGGGCCGGTTCGTCGGGTCAAGCCTGTATGATCAGAAGTCGTAGTTGAACTCCTTCGTTGCTCGTCGTCGTCGCCAACATCGACACCGTACTTTCTCATTTCTTCCACCGACGTACGTTCGTCCGCCTTCTCCGCTTTTGTCGCCATTCTTCGCTGCTTAACCAATCCAACTGACCTAGGTCCTGTTCGTAAATTAGAGTCAACCTTCTCTGTCGTGATTGGGTTAATAGCATTTCTTCGCTTCAACTCTCCTCCTTGAATTTTCCGGAAGAATTGGTAAGACGTCTGTTCATTTGCCCTATTACCCAACAGCCGAGGTTTTCATCCTTCATGGTTGCGCGGTTGTCATGCAGCCCCCTGCATGCTGCAGGCGTTCTAAAAGCGGCCCTTAAATGCGTGGTTGACGCGTGTGCTGACTGCTTTTTTCATCTTGATAGCCAAGTTTATCACGTAGAACCATCTCAACGACATGCAGACTATCAAGGTTGTAGTGGTGGGGGACGGTGCTGTAGGCAAGGTGCGTGACGTGTTGTATTTGTATGCTCCGGACTTTGAACTGTGTGCCCCGATATCGCCAGACTTGTTTGTTGATCTCATACACCACGAACAAATTTCCAAGCGACTATGTTCCGACTGTAAGTTGGTTCCGCAAGACCGCCAAACACTGTGCTAAATAAGCGCAGGTCTTTGATAACTACGCTGTCACCGTAATGATTGGTGAAGATCCTTACACGCTAGGTCTTTTCGACACCGCCGGTTCGTGTCTTTTTGTAGTCTCTGTCGTAGTTACACTTCATACAATCGCTCACACATCACTTCCACATAAAAGGGCAAGAGGATTATGACCGTCTCCGGCCACTGTCATACCCCCAAACCGACGTCTTCCTTGTTTGCTTTAGTGTAACGTCACCTCCATCCTTCGAGAACGTGAGGGAGAAATGGATTCCAGAGGTGCACCACCATTGTCCGGGTGTCCCATGTCTTATCGTTGGGACGCAAATCGACTTGCGGGACGATGCTCAGGTGATCGAGAAGCTCTCCAGGCAGAAGCAACGACCGGTGCCGACCGAGCACGGCGAGAGGCTTTCGAGAGAGCTTGGTGCTGTCAAGTATGTGGAGTGCTCAGCCCTGACACAGAAAGGGTTGAAGAACGTCTTCGACGAGGTCGGTGAAATCTTTGATAAATCCTATCTGAATGATTGGCTGATAACCTACAAGGCTATTGTCGCTGCACTAGAGCCACCCGTGGTTAAGAAGACACATAAATGCGTCGTCGTTTAATGAATGATCCATCACGACGGTACAGCTTGTTCTATCTTCTTATGACTCCTTTACGCCTTGTTCTGCCTCATATATCCTTCTCATCTTTTTTTATGTCGTTTCCCTCGTTGCGCCAAGACATCATGATTTTCCCCAGTCCTGTAGCATCTGTTCTCTTCCGCACGAGCTGAGTGGATCTTGAGGCTATGCTGGTGCTCTTAGAGAAGCTGATCTCGTCCGTCTTTCTCACACCACAATTGATGAGTAGTTCGTATTGTCGGAAACTGTTGGGTTCGATAGGAATTTAATACCCACGACGGGGAGTTATTATGTCTATTCATTACAGATTAGAGATAGCTTCGAAGTAGGGCAGAATTGTTTGTTGGCGAGCCTCTCGAAACACAGATCTGACTGGAGTTTCAGATACTATCCCCATCACGTACATAGGTCATTTCTTGATTATAGTAGCGACAGTTCAGGTGCCTTGTAAGGACATGTGAGAGGTGTCGTCCAGAGGTGCTGTGTGATAACTCACCATCGCTCGACTCTCGAATGCCAGCCAATCTCCTGTTCCAGTTGGTATAAGACCCATAGAACGACACTTCCAGAGGCCAACTGCAAGTGTCAAGAGGTTGCACGCGATGTATGCTATCTTCTGGAGAGGAAGGACCTTGAGTGACTTGACGCTTGCAGGTGTAGGCGCAAATGGTGTGAATGCTGCCTCGACAATAAGAGATGTGACGGTTATATTTCATTAAACGGACGTACCTGCATTCATACCAGCGATATTTTTAAAAGGCGACAGAAGAAGCATGAACACGATACCCATGCTGAAGATTTGTACGCCTCCCCCAGACATGTACAACATGAATGCCTGCATAGGAAGAGACTTGGCTGGCGAGATAGCGAGATCCCAAGCACGTTTGTCTTTCAGCGATGCATACGACGATGACGTTGCTACTGTTGGAGCCTTGGCTGGTGCTCTGGACTGTTGAAAGTATTAGCTTAATAAACGGTTAGAAATGAGCATAGGACTGACGCTTGGAGCAAAGCTTGAAAATCCTGGAGGAGGAGGAAGGTTCCTCCATTTACTGTGATCTATGGATGTATACTCCAGGTTGGAGCAGTTTGCCATCTTTGAATTCAGCACCGTTCGAGTGGGTGTCAAATGTACAGAGTGCTACGTCCCACCATGAGACGACATAAATTCCAATTAGGCAATTGAGTTCGGCATTCGGCACTTATTGTAACTTACACACTCGTGGTCTAAACATTTGAAGTGACTAGCTAACAACAGACTCTGCCCTAGATGTCAATACCTGAAGCTTGAAGCCTGGTGGACTCTGGTGCTACGCCGATGTTCAAGTGTAGCAAATAAATCCACATCTTTACCCTCACAGTTGAATAAGATGAAAAGTTATTCAATATTTCCTGATACGAAACTCGAGAGGAATTTATGATATTGAAGCAATCGGTCTGTCTAGTCCTGTGCCCTTATAAGGGAGATATCGACGCTGTCCGGACCACATTTCACTTCATAATACACAAAAAACATACGGTTCAATAATGTCAAAGGCACGCAAAACCAGTCACGTGTCGATACAGCAGAATACATTACTACATACACGGAAGGTTACTAAAGCTTTAAAGGAGCAAGTACTATGTATATGGGCACGCATTAAGCTCGGGTGGTGAACATATCAAACTTTCCGGTAGCAAATAGGATGTAAGGAACGGCAGTAGCGACCAAGGCATCAAGGGTAAAACCGGCGGCTAAATTTGCACCGCTGCTTAGCTTCTGGGAGCTTGCCACTCTCAAAGATGAATGTCGCATCTCCGTAAAATGTTACTTTGGAATCAGGCGTTGTGAGTAGACCAGGCAGGTCATTCACGCTTCTCAAGTTCTGTCGTGCCGAATATGCTTTGAGACCTTTCTGACGGGTCTCTGGATCTGAAGCGCGGTCAGTTGACTCTTCCGTATCAGCCACTCGGAGGAGTTCGGTGCGACGGGCAACGAAGTCATAGAGTGGAACAGCATATCCGCATGACTTAGCGGAACTGTTAGATCGAAAGAGACTGGAGTAGATGGGGGATGGCCTACCGTTTGACACCGATACGCATCGATAACGATAACTGCACGAGAGCCCGGCTTCCTAATCTCAGGAGAAATAAAATATTCGTATTCTTCTGTGCCACATTCGTATACAGTTCCTACCTTCAGATGTTAGAATGTAATTGAAACAAGCACCTATCCCAAACAATCTCAAAATCCTGGGAGGTCCCTCAAAGGCATTGAACAGGATCGTTATGCGACCATTCTCCCTAGATTATTTCCGTTCCTTACTCTCAAAGACTAGCACAAAAATTGATCGGTACTCACCGCTCTTGGTCAAATCTTGATACCAAACTCGGTGAGAGTTCACGACATGGAAACTATCTGCTGTGCCCTTGGCGGAGAGATTTATATGGCCATCAGGACTCAGGGGAGCCGAAGCCACCCAAAACATGTGTTGTTTCTTGATCCATTCGATGAGAGATTCAGGTATCTCATCGTAGAACTTGGCCATGGATAGTAGATGATGCAGCTAACTTGGAGCAATGAGCCTTGTTACCCTTCCGAAATACTTTGGCTCTAGGCTCGGGACCAGCCCGGCTTATAAGTCTGCTTCGGCTCCTCAGAGCTCCCGTAGTACGTACGTCCAGGGCAACGTACTAGGAACGTGATGTGACAAGACCTCGAAAACCTCGGCAGCTGCAAATTTGCTTCCGACTTACCAGGGTACTATGTAGTAGTAGGAACAGCGACGGTAAAAACCTCTTGACTACGAACAGGACAGCATTCTGGCGCTGAGCCATCCAGAAGGCTCTGTCCCTCGAGAGTTGTAGGTGCTTGGAAACAGGAGTAGGATCGTTCGCCATGGTCATTGGGCCCGGGACAGGGAGCAACCGCCGTTGGTCACTGAGTTTAACTCGAAGGAGGACATGTACTATGTCTGGCGACATTTTCCTTGAAATCTACTTGGTTTTGCAAATGCAGTTGCTTGATGCGCTGTCATTGAGCTATGTAGAAGAGCCTGGCCAGTGGCCATCCGCCAGCGGGACCGACTTACTGTGAATAATATTATTAAATGAAACACTCGGCCTTTGAAATTGTAAGGGCCCTCCCTTTTAGCGCTGTCAGGCGCTAAGTCCTGGGATTAACTCTCTTCCCACCGTCGTTCCCGCATTGTTATGTCTCTCCAGCCATTCACCTCTCTGTACCGATATGCTGTTGAACCAATAGCACCATTTACCTGGTTTGGTACCAAGGTCTCTTCCCTCGATTTGGTAGCCGTGTTTCGGCTTTGTATCGCTTTGAGACAGATGAGGGAAAATTTGTATGCTAAACACCAGCGAAGCGCTGGAGAGGATAGACCTGCACTTGCAGAAGAGAGGTCCTTCGTGAGAGACGCATGTGCCATGCTGACGATTGTATTTGGAGGGGAGGCTATCATAGGTACTGCTAACTTGTTGTGTAGGGAAATGTCAGAGCTGCGCATACTGACCGCTCCCTATGCGCAGGCCCTCTCCTTGGTATTCTGCCATCTTTCATGCTCTCCGGTGTTTTTCCTGGATTGTACATCGCCGCACAAGCGATTGTAGAGTATATCCCTGTCCTGCCGTCCGCGTCATTCAGCACCGAGCTTCCTTTATCCATTATCGACGGATTTACCCGAGCAATGCTTCTCTGCAGCCTCATACCACCACCCGTTATCGCCCACACATCCCCCGTTATCGCATCTTCACCGTGGGCTCTCCTTCTCTCGTCTCTCGTATGTGATCGTTTCCCGTCATGATTTCCGTCCTCATACCTCTAACCACTCTTTCCTACCACAGGTCATCACCAATGGCGGCTTTTTCTTAACGAATATGTTCTCATTCATGGAGCCCACCCCGCTTACACTTACGACTCCCGATGAGCTCAAGCCCTATGGCTGGACAACCACCGACATCTGGTCTGCCCCGTTTATCACGGGGCTCTATGCCCTCCTCACACATGCCCAGCCGTTCTGGGCCGAGTTGCACAGTGTAATTTCGACTGTCCTCGGAGGTGCTGGCAGTAAAGTTGATCCTATGGATGCAGAGTCTGCCCGTGCGCTGTGCGCGCTAATCCTCGCAGCATTATTCTCCACCCGCACTGCGAAGAACTTTGGGCTTATCTGGAAGAAGAGTGAGTTCTATGAGTTGTTTTTATGTTGTGGCGGTACTAATGGTTCTCTAGGTGTTGTAGAGAAGATCAAGACACAATGAATACCCAGCACGATATCTATTTATACCGCTTGCTGTAGATCTACATGACATTTATGAATGATATGTCCTTGCCACGAATAGTGTACGAGTGGTCCAGCGGTGCGTTGAGAGCCCGTTGAGAAACTCTAAAGATGTAAAGCTCTACAGACACTGAGGCCTGAGAACATCTAGAACATACATATATGTATGATCGAGTGCGTTCCCCCTTGAGGCCTTCGAGCTCTGATTCTCCGCTCCCAACTCAGCAGACCTTGTCTCCTTGCCATGCTCATTCGTGACAGTCGAGCCATGAGACTGCGCAATTGATCTATTGTCCTTTTCCGTGAGATGGATGAAAATGCATGTCAGACTAATGAGCTATCAGCCATCTGGGCTTCATGCTTCGTGGTCACTTCTTCATCAGACAGCACCGCAAACGCGTAGAACGAGCTGTCTGGGCACTTGCACTGATTCTAGTTGTATTAATTTCAATATCGGGCAGGTCCAGGTTGGTTGCTAGACGTTCCGAATTATTTCAGCTTGCCACTTGGTGCAAGCATGAGTGAGTAGTTACTTCGTCCCCTCATCCTAAGCAATGTTGATGCATAACAAAAACAGGCCACTTAGCTTGTTCTGATGCATCAGAATAACACTATAGCTTGTCTTTTGACTCAGGACTGCCACCTCTAAGTGGGTACAAATTTGGTGCATATCCCGCTGTGATACTGTTCTCGTTCAGTACAGCAGGAGCACTAGTGGTGTAACCTTTCTGGCATATATTGACCTTAGGTTCATTTAACAGTTCCTTGCGTAGTTCAAGTCCAAGCTGTGTTCCCGTTGACCGGATCGCCCGTCGAAGCGCCCGCATTTGATCAGGTGCTTGCGACGATAAGTCGACGATTTTCAGATCGTTGAATTATCGTCGGAATGATTCCTTAACATGCAGGACGATAGTTCGCCAGTAAGAGTTGGAGATTCTTGCTAATTTTTCAACCTGTCACTTATTTGTCGCATGTAGCCTATATACAACAGATCCTCCGAGTCCTGAGTCCTGATACACATTCTGCTTCTTCCTGCGACATTTACAGCCATCCCACAGGCCCGTACATGTGCACTAATGGATCTTCATCAGCACGCCCTCCGAACCAGCAGGCAGCAGTACACCTCGTACCTCCTGAGTCTATTCCTCTTCATCCTCCGCAGTTCTTCGATAATATCATGATGCTGCCCAACCACCAACAATATGATGCATATGTGCGCCCTACCGGCACAGATCTATTAACCGTTCATCTCACTGTTTTGCAGATGACTTGACACCTTCGACACCACATTCGGTGTCGTCACAGTCGTCACCGGTTTCCGTCTCGGACATCTTGGCATTCAATACTCGATGTTTTTCTTCGGCACTCCTACCTCCATCACTGAGGTATGCATTGGTCTACGGTCCACATGCTCTGGATTGTTTATCCGCCAACCTTCGGTTCTGCCTATACTCTCATCCTGAAGTCCGCTGGAAAGCGCACCCATTCTGATACAAGTGCCAAGCTCACTTTTCAAAAACGTTTTTTCCGATAGGATATAAGAGCAAGGCCACTAGCAGAATCCGAGCCACTGTTTTTCTTGACACATCCCATATAACCTAGCACGAGCCATGCATTTCTCGTTCCTCCGAGTAGTCGCAGTCGTTGCAGCTTTGACAGGATCTATGTCTGTCACCGCACAGTCCTGTGCGTCCGTAGGCCAGGCTTGTGGCAAGACCAGCCCGGTAGGCCTCTCATGCTGCAGTGGCCTTTCCTGTACGCCTGTTGTGAGTATCAGTCGTTCGCTTTGCATCCGAAATTCAACCCCACGACTCACCTTTGCGCCTTGTACCAATAGGAGTCCGCTACTCCTTCCACGTACTGCACGAAAGTCCAGATGAGCTTTGCAGACTGAGCATGTCACAATAGTGTGTCTTATTTCTTTCGCGTTGGCACAGTGCTTGATCGCACGATATACAGTTTGTCGCGGAGTTAATGGATGTGCTCACTTTTATACAATTTTTCCTGACGCCTCGACTGGACTCCCGAATAAATTACTGTAGCGTTGATAGAAGACCTCGGGCTCAGGCCTCATGTCATTCGACTTGTATACGTTTTAGCATCAGTAAAAGTAGAACAAAATCGGTGTCTTCAGCCGACATTGAAATAGGTGTACGTGACATTCAAGATCATTCGAAAGAGGCTACTTGAAGACCAGGCTAGAACAGTTCCAGTCGTTGCCGGCGTCGGCAATTTATCACGTAGTCATTGATGTCACACAAGTCAAAGCGGCGTGATGTGGTTGGAACAAGTAGTCCACTCTCTTCGCTCTCGCTGGCCGAGCCCGAGGCATAACAGCTCTCCGATTATTTTTATAGAACAAGAGCCATTCTGCACCAGAGAACTCAGACAAGAAACCGTGACAAAATGGGTTGAATATATTTCACCTTATTCGTCGCCTCGTACGCTTGAATGATTATACCAAAATGATGAACAAAGATATGGTACCGTAAGGATAGAGCGAATCCGATCCAAAGCGCATTATGTTCAATGCATCGTGCACTTGATGTCATGGTGAGTATTGTACTGCCAGATTCATAATTGATATTGCCATCCAGGCCAGACGGCGGGAGACAACAGGCCTGGAATATTTTATCTCCTATTGTCACTTTTTCAATCCCACCCGCCCATTTCTCTCCTAGGTTCTCTTCTTTTCGACTACCATCATGGCCTCCGTACTATACAAGCATCTATTACTGTAATTGACGATGGGACACGTCCGGAACGCTTGTTCTTAATTTCAATATCGGGCAGGACCAGGTTGGTTGCTAGACGTTTCGAATTATTTCAGCTTGCCACTTGGTGCAGGCATGAGTGAGTAGTTACTTTGCCCCCTCATCCTAAGCAATGTTGATGTATAACAAAAACAGGTTACTTAGCTTGTTCTTATCCATCAGAAAGGCCCGTGCATGTGTACGAGACCTATGTGATCTATCCAAAGCTATTTTGACACGTTTTGCAACTGTCAGTCGCGATTCTGGTCAAGATATAGCTCCTCGGAAGACTCCGATAGGCCAGGATGTTGTAGACTGTAACAAGCCAGGCAGCTGCCGTAGGGACGGAGGGAAATACAAACAAGCATGCATCGAAGAGGAGTCATGCTAGTGATAAAGGTACTGGTGGTATGTCAGGGACCTCAAAACGCGCACGAAAGACAGTCCAAGCACAGTCTGCAGCACCTGGTGGGTTTGCAAATCCTTTCGCACTAAATGGAGCTTCATCAGCACGCCCTCCGAATCAGCAGGCAGTAGCACACCTCGTACCTCCTGAGTCTATTCCTCCTCATCCTCCACAATTCTTCGATAATATCATGATGCTGCCCAACCAAAAATATGATGCACATGTGCACCCTACCGGCACAGATCTATTAGTAAGCGTTCATTTTACAGTTTTGCAGATGACTTGACTCCTTCGACACCACATCCGGTGTCGTCACGGTCGTCACTGGTTCCCGTATCGGACATCTTGACATTCAATACTCGATGTTTTTCCTTGGCAGTCCTACCTCCATTACGTCCACTGAGGTATGCATTGGTCTACGGTCCACATGCTCTGGATTGTTTATCCGCCAGCCTTCGGTGTAGCGGGGCGCTCTGGCACGGGACGGGAGTGGCAAGGGTCCTGGCACGGTGGCAGGAGTTCTGGCTCGTAGTCGGTAGTCCTCGCGTGTGTCGTAGTCTGTCCTCGATAGACAGAGCCGTAGCCTCCCGCTATAGAGATCTGGCCTTGGTTCCCCTTGCAGTCCTTCCCGTTACATCGGTTCTGCCTATACTCTCACTCTGAAGTCCGCTGGAAAGCGCACCCATTCTGATACAAGTGCCAAGCTTACTTTCCAAAAACGTTTTTCCGATAGGATATAAGAGCAAGGCCACTAGCAGAACCAGAGCCACTGTTTTTCTTGACACATCCCGTATAACCTAGCACGAGCCATGCATTTCTCGTTCCTCCGAGTAGTCGCAGCCGTTGCAGCTTTGACAAGATCTATGTCTGTCACCGCACAGTACTGTGCGAACCTAGGCCAGGCTTGTGGCAGGACCAGTCCGCAAGACCTCTTATGCTGCGGTGACCTTATCTGTGGGCCTGCTGTGAGTATGAGTCGTTCGCTTTGCATCCGAAATTCAACCCCACGATTCACCTTTGCGCCTTATACCAATAGGAGTCCGCTACTTCTTACAGGTACTGCATCCAAATCCAAAGGGACTTGGCAGACTGAGCATGTCACAATAGTGTGTCGTATTTCTTTCGCGTTAGCACAGTGCTTGATCGCACGATATACAGTTCGTCACGGAGTTGATGGATGTGCTCACTTTTGTACAAATTCAAATTTTCCTGACGCCTTGACTGGACTCCCGAATAAATTACTGTAGCGTTGATAGAAGACCTCAGGCTCAGGCCTCATGTCATTCGACTTGTATATGTTCTAGCATCAGTAAAAGTAGAAGAAAATCAGTGTCTTCAGCCGACATTGAAATAGGTGTACGTGGCATTGATGATTTCAAAGAGGCCACGTAGTCATTAATGTAACACAAGTCAAAGCGTGATGTGATTGGAACAAGTAGTCCACTCTCTTCGCTCTCGCTGGCCGAGCCCGAGGCATAACAGCTCTCCGATTATTTTTACAGGACAAGAGCCATTCTGCACCAGAGAACTCAGACAAGAAACTGTGACAAAATGGGTTGAATATATTTCACCTTATTCGTGTAGTAGGCACCCAAAATGCTACTCCTTACACTTTGGAGGCGAGAAAACGGTTTTGGAAGACGGAAAGACGACGGCGGACGTAGTATTCCTGTACTGACGATAGGAAACGTCCGAAGGTGATCGGTACATAGCGAGGATTTCGAAATTGGTGTGACTGCCATGTGCGCGCGCCACTTCAAGCTTCAAAGCTTCACTGAGCCACTGACGCTCCTTTTCATTTTGATCTCTGCATTCTTCTGCGCGTGTCGTCGGCATTCAAATGCTACGCGACCTTATGTGCTCGAATCTAAAAAGAGATTTTGGAAAATGGATGGGTTTGCGGAATCAGAAGACACTGTCGCCGATCTGTCTTCATTTTTGGTGGGAAATATTATGCACCGCCTGAGGAGGGTCATTGCTAACTGCCATAGAGGATGGAACCAGTCGAAATCACGCGGACGACGAAACATACTGACAGCCGGAACAGAATCATACTTCAGTTCTGACACTGTCAAGAACAAGTGCCTCCTGACGCACCTGAAATTGATTGGACCTCAAGATCCGCGCCGTATGCGCTATTCAACGGAATCTATCAGTTGGGAAAGGATTGGTACGGAACACGCGTGTCTGCATCACCAGTCTTCATCGCAGGTTCATGGAATTGCAGAAGAGGAGGAAGAGACAACGGTAAACATAGTATACAGACGTCAATTATTATGAATGGAGGCATAAGGTTACCGTCCGAAGGGTTTAGAACTCTTGGTGGTTTGTAAATACAGTAACGAAACGGGGTACGACTTCTTTGCTAATTCTGAACGCCAGTCAAAAAAACGCCTTCTAATCATAGAATACCAGGACCCTCAGCTCGATGGATTCCCGAAGCGGCGCTCCCTCTGGAGTATTCGGGTCTTGGAAACCAGTATGGGGCGTGAGCCTCGCGACACTGCCATCTTGTACCGAGTCAAAGCTGAAACCCTTTTAGCACGACAACAACCTTCCCCGAGTGACGTCACTCACCATTTGATAAGAACAAACTCTTCTGGGGTCATCGCCTTCATGTATTTCCACTGGTGGTTTGGGTTGTATATGACTCCAAATGTCTCACCCTCGTGGTCAGGGTATACAAGAGTGACAGGTACCAAGTCTTTCTCGTAATCAAGACTCCGGAAGTCACATAGTGCAAGCGGCCAATCTACAGCCGCATGTGATATGGGACGCCAAAGGTTAATGATTTGGAAGCGTCTTCGAAGGAGGGAAGGAGCTTCTGTTGGCGGGAGATGCCTGTGAACACGAGCAATGGACGATGCAGTCGTTTGGTCCACATGAACCAGCGGAACTGGTTGACGTTTCTGTGGGCCATCATCTACCTCACCTGGGCGACGGCGACGAATAGCTGTGTCACGAATTGGAAATGAAGACGTCATTTCAAATTGGTAGTGGTCAACGTACTATGATCGAAGATGACAATCCTGGTTGCTCCCGTAACCCTCTTGATAAGGTCGATGCTCTCAGAGTAGTATTCGCGCTCGACCTCATCATCATTCAAGAAGCTGGTATGTTTCGCCGCTTCTCGCCCATACTGAAACCCAGCAATGTCGAGCTTATAAAGCTCCTCCTTCCCGCGCACATCCTCAATTCGTATATCATGCGTGTCCTCGACCCAGTTGCGGTCTCGCTTTCCGGTGGTGCTATCTGAGTTGATGGTACTGTAAGGCCGAGAGCCGTCAGACGGAGCCAACATGTAGTTGAAAATGCCGATAGTGTCAGAGGCCATGGTTAGTCCGTTTGTGCTGGATGAAATGCGGAATGAAAGTGTGCTGGTATCACGAGTAAGTTGTATCTTACTTATATATGTTTCCAAAGTCCGGGGAAGTCGTTTGGCTGACATATCATGTTATCAAATACCTGGTCCGCTGACTGTTAATGTGGATTCATAAGCATGACGCCAGGGAGCTGCGGGATGCGCAATGAGTGGAGCTCTTACCTGAATTACTAAGTCCCATCAGCAATCTACGCCGGGGAGAGAATTCTTGATTTCGTAGCCCAAAACACTGTTGACTACGTTGAAGTTGCTCCAGGATACATATGGCATGTATAGCACAAATTATTATTGATGATGTCGACCAAGTACATATTGGATCGACGAGAATGAGTATCAACTTGTCAACTTTGTCGCTGCGCAGGGTCACTGCAGGTTCAAGTGATTGATTGATGAGAGAGATATCAGGCTGAGAGACCTGGGGTTTGAGCCTGCGAGCATTCTGTGGTGACGAAGAAGAGAATTGTCGATGCCTGCCGGCAGGTTGTGATACAATGATCTAAGGCCTAATCAATTGTATATCAGGGCTCGCGTATTTTCTGATAAGCGGATCTTATGATTCCTATGGGCTAATGCAAGTTAGGCAGCACATAAGCATCACGAAACATGCTCACGATTTGCAGACTCCGAGATTACAGATTAGAACAAGCCTGGAGAACTAATGTCATAGAAAGAATTGTATCATGATGTGTAGATCCCTCGCCTTGCAACTGTACTCATCTCCACAAAACCCAAGTCGAGTGTTCGGCATAGTTGTCGAACATATCTAGGCTCACTTGCAGGAGGTCACAAGTATAGCTCTCCATCCAGGTACAGTGGCAGTGGCAGAGCGAATAAATTTCATTCATAAATTTCGCACATTTACATCTTCAGCGTTTATAAACCTATATCACTTCGGGTATTCACTGTATCTTGATCTTCTCAGCGACACCTGCACACGAGTTCAAAAGCCATCAGCGCCGACCACCGATCCAGAATAAGATAACTTACTCCTCTTCCAAACAAGCCCATAGTTCTTCGCAGTCCGGGTGGAGAACATTCCCGCAAGAATTAGCGCGCATAGCGCACGGGCGGCCTCTGGGTCCATAGGACCGACTTTATCGCCAGTGTTTCCGAGGACGGTCGAGATAACGCTGTGGAGTTCGGCCCAGAACGGCTGAGAGTGCGTGAGGAGGGCATAGAGCCCCGTGATGAACGGCGCACACCACAGGTCCGTGGCTGTCCAGCCGTAGGGCTTGATCGCGGCGGGAGTCGTAAGTGTGAGCGGGGTAGGCTCGAGGAATGAGAACATGCTGGTTATGAAGAAGCCTCCATTGGCGATGACCTGTTATGGGCAAAATCAGTTAGAGATCGAGACAGGATCGGGAAGGGACGACATACGAGAGAGGATAGCAAAAGAGTCCACGGAGAAGATGCGATAACAGGGGATGCGTGGGTGATAACAGGTTTGGGTATGAGGCTGCATAGAAGCAACGCGCGCGTGAATCCGTCGACGATAGACAACGGAAGCTCAGTGCTGAGTGACATGGACGGTATAACAGGGATATATTCTACGATCGCCTGTGCGGCAATGTACACACCGGGGGAAACACCTGAGAGCATGAAAGATGGGGGAACAGCGAGCAGAGTGCCTGAAAGTGGAGAGCGGTCAGATGCATAATAGGTTCGAGTTAGCGAAGTACCTATGATGGCCTCTCCTCCAAATTTGATCGTGAGCGAGGTACATGCGTCTCTTAGGAAGGATCTCTCCTCCACAGGTGCGGATTTATCGCCAGAGCGGCGTTGATGCTTGGCATATAGATCTTCCTTGGTCTGTCTCAGGATGGTGCAAAGCCGCAAGGCGGCCACCAATTCGATGGAGCAGACGTTGATACCAAACCAGCTGAAAGGTGCTATGGGTTCAAGAGCATACCGATACAAAGTTATGAATGGCTGGAGAGACATGACGGGGCCAAGGAATAGTTGGGGTCAAGGTTGTAGAAGACAAGCAGAAGTCCTGAGACATTCTCCTTCGGCTCAGCGCTTGAGCAGTAAGCCGGCAGTAATATTAGCTGGCAGTCGGATTTCGGAGCAATCCTACGCGCACAGGCCACTCTGGACTTTGGACACTCATGCATCATGATCAGGAATTTCATCGGTTTGCTTATGAGCAAACCTTCCATAGCACCAGCCATCGACAGCATACAAGTACAGCAAGAAAACGTTCAAGGAAATGATCATCAACAATCTCGATAGTATTTATACCATACAGAGCCCCAGACAACAGTATTTGGAACAGCAAATAAATATGCGCAATAATGATAGTCAGACCACGACAATGAGCAACGTCAATGCGATTAGATTTGTGACGACCGTGAAATGTCGTTAACAAGTATCGCAGGGAGTCACTCGGCTAGTCGAACGCAACGATCCTAGTTCCCATTCCTCGCACTGGCCACATCAATACTGTCGTCGACTGTTCCAAACTTGAGATCGTCCAGGACGCCAAGCAGATTTATATCCCAATTCTGGAAGTGCAGATCGACAGCCGGAAAGTTTGGACACAAAGTAGGAAGGCCACCGAACAGCTGAGGTGCACCCCAGTATACGTCCATCTTCTGGTCCTTGGAAAGTTCGGTCCAATATGCCGGGTCCATAGGGTGATCAATAACGTTAAGTATAAATGCACCTTTATACGCTGCTGCAGGTTCCTTCAGCCCAGACCCTGGGAACGTCGGAACTTCCATGAATACGTTGACAGCGAAATTAAAATAGGTCAATTCTTCGGCAGAATAAATCATATTACCGAATTGAACAGGAGACGTGACCACACTCGGTTGGCCACCTGAAAGTGGCTTGTACGAGGCTGAAACGCCGCGCTTAAGAGACATGGACCATAGAGTGTCTTCAGGGTTTTCTAAATTCTCGGAGTTTGATGGATGTTCCGTATGGAGGACATGGATGATTACGCCATACATATGATACCAACGTGGTGGGTTCATACATATGACCTCGCTGTTTCGAATTATGACCATAGGAATTGGCTGCGGGAACGCGTCCTTGTATCTTTCAAGGTGGTCGGGAAGCTGGTTCAAGAGCTTGATGGGATAGATCCTCGGGCGTCGCAGGTCATCGGGAAAGCATGGGTTTCGAGGGACTTTAGAGTAGTATCGGCGGGTGACAGCGTCCTTGTGCTGACAGAAGTTGCTGATCAATTGCGCGTATTGTCGAGCATCGGGCATGTCGAATTGAGCGTGTTTTTGAGCACCAGGCATGTTGAAGAAAGGCGGCAGACGCAGTGGCATGTCATGGTGCTCGTCTAGCTTTTCGTAGATCATCATCGGTATGATACTTTCCACCTCGAGATTTTCTCTCGGTATGCAGTAGGTAAATGGCGCAGGGAGAGTGGCTCGCAGTGCTGGCCTGTTCGATCCGGTTGAAGTTTGGGTATGGACGAAAGTCGGTCGGACTTGAGGGATTCGAGTGGCATCATCGCGTGCAAGTATGGTATCCGTATTGACGACAGCGGGGATGGGCCGTGGTGCATATAGCAGATTTTGAGGCGCATAGTGCGTATTAACATCAATGTTGTTGGCATCCTCTTCCAAATCATATTGCGCGGAACCAGGGTGAGCGAACTGGAAGCCAGGGACCTGCATGCTCGTGTGTTCGGCTTGCATGCTAGGTCAAAAAAAAACAAGATTCTCGTACCTGCTCGTGAAAACCGAAAGCGTCGAGATTGCTGGCGTACAGTTCATCATTACTTGGTAAATGATGAGCAAAGCTCTGAGAGGGTGCGATAGTGGTGGACTGAATGTCACGCACGACGAGATGCGCGGACTCATTCATACTTGAAGAAGAGCTTTCAATCTGAGTTGACTGCATAATGTGATAACAAGCAAGAGACGAAAGGTGATGAGGATGTCGAGGAAATGCCTACTGTTTATATATGCAAAGGTGGACCTTGTGGACTTTTAAAAAACAACAAAAACCAACGGTCATTATTTTTAAGTGAAAGGTAACTAAGCATGGTACAATGGCGAAGCGGCTGTAATGGCCCTAAACCGGGAATGCGAGATAGTTCTTTACAGCGATCAAATCCATGAGTGCGCTGGTTCAAGACTGTCCCCTCCAGAAAACTTGGTGTCCACATGTTCCTTGCGCCGAAAGGTGTAATCGGACTTGGAATAATCGGTCCTTGATTGGCCAGGGAAGCAATTCCGCAACCTGCAGGATCTGCCGAGTTAGTCGTAGGAGATCAGGGCATGTCATCAGACGCGCTGTGGGTCGTGCTGCTCGCAAACCTTTTTGGCCCTTTTGTTCAAGAGACTAGCGATTGTCATGACTTCACCACGACAAGCAAGCACCACACCCGCCACATTGCTACAACAAAGGCTACAGTTACCAAACGTAAGAGCAACTTTTGTCCACACCATCTAACAAACGGCCGGTCTCTCGCTCATCATGCTTTAGCTACCACCGGGCCGACCCCGTGGTCACGATGTTTGGTCGGCCTGATTAGTGATTGGTAGCATCAAAGGTCTCGGCGCCTTGTTACCTTCCATGTCTGCTCCACATACCAAGCGTATTTGCCAGATAATCAAGGTGCGTACTGCGGGTTCTCGCCTCGTGTAATAAATGCTCAGACCCCTGACCGTTCATCATAGCTCAAACCAGAATGCGCCGACGAATACAAAGAGGTCCACAGGAACGTCTGGCCCGGCGTCCTCAACGCCATTAGACGGTACCACATCGTGGACTACTCGATCAACCATTACCCGCAGCTGAATTTGCTTATCGCAAACTTCAAGTACACGGGTAGTGACTTTGAGAAAGATATGAAAGCCATCGGGGACGACGAGGAGACGCAGAGGTGGTGGAGGCTTACTGATAGTATGCAGGAGAGCTTCAATGATGGTGCATCTGGGAGTGGAAAGGATATCCCTTGGTGGACGGTAAGTTTTCATTGTAGACTGGCGATCTTCGCTTCCTTGAATAATTTGGTGAATAGGACGTTGAGGAAGTCTTCCGTTTCGAGGGGGGCTCTTCAGCATGATACGTTGACAGCCATTGCTGATGAGATTGACTACCTCACTGCGTGAATCAAGTATTGGATGACAGCTGTGCCGTCAGCGTGTAGTAAACCGTACCATGATAAAAAAAAGGTTTGAGATACTAAGAGTTTGGGCTCAGGCTGTTGACTAGTTGGAAGGTAGTGCGATATTGAAAAGGCAGACGATGAGGAAAATTTGCCCAAGGCAAGAATGTGACTGGTTACAATTGCTCAAACTTGACGCGAAACATAGCTTCAAGACATGGTAGATTTTATCGGCGTGTACTCCGTATATGCAAACTCATCTCGAGTAACGTAACTTCAGCCCGAAATTTCGATACTCGTCGATCTGAAATACATTTCTAGTCAAGTGGCAAGGTTCAAATTGCATGACCAAGTGCATGAGTCGATGTAGTACCCACAAAAAGCAACCTCTCCAACAACTGAGAGCAACGACTTCATACTGCTTATGTGAACTTTTCTGAATGATGCATCCGTCTGAAAATCCACTACCGGCACCTGGAAAGATGCCCGCCAATATTGACAACAGACGATGAATTTGTCACTATTTTTGTGTTCCAACGAGAGTCAATCTGCGGAAGATGAATGAGGCTGGACATGTCGATAAACTCTTGTCGGAAGTGATGTGACTCATGCGAGGAGGGGAGCAGGAGGGTCATCGACTTGAGTGTCGCTGAATAAATTCTAGCACCAGAAACAACGGGAAAGTATATGGGGAAACTGGTTATAGTGGAGCATAAAGCACACACGGAAGCGTTGCGGAGGCGGAGATGATGTAGATCTTTGTGAAAGGAAATGTGAGGTTTGAGTGCGGAGGCCAAATAGTGACAGTTAGTATTGAGGTGTAAGCGAGAAATATTTGGTGCGTAGAATTTGCTGAGTCGGAGAACAAGAAAGTCACATTCCAAGGCTCTCAAACGAGGTGTGTCGAAGTTGATATCCCAGCCACACAGGTGTAGCATGAGCTTGACGACCATTTTCAAACGCTTGCTCTCAGAAAGGAGGATATCGAGAAGTCGAGAGTTTGCCGCCAGTATCATCTAAGGTTGGTGACTGCTGCGAGTGCGGTTGCGTCATGGGGCACTGTATACAATGCAAAGGGTGAAGAGTAAACAACCAGAGCGAGCAAGCCAACACTGAAGAAGACGTGGAAGAAATGGTTTGACTTGAATGATGTAACTTGCCCGGGGGGACGACCAGAATATGCGACCAGACTCCTGCGCCAAAGGTGGCACACCCTGGTCAAGTCTAGGGGAGGGCTGGAAACGTTGACCGAAATGGTGTCATGTCCGCGTGAAAGATATCCGGATAGTCTGTAGAAGTTCCACTGGCAACCATTGGATGTACGGCTCTGACGGCGTCACACTGACAGGACTTGAACAAAAAAAGGATGATGCATGGATCTCGTGATGTAGATCATGATGGGTTCTAGATCTCGCTAAGTGCATTAATCAATATGGGTTGTCATTACCTCCGGGCATCCCACTGGCACTGGTTTATGCCTCTTGGCTGTGTCGATCGGTCGGTTCCATGGCTGGCTCGCCACCGATATGCAGTAACTCAAGCTTGGCTAGCTAAGCCTTACATACTTATTGTACAAAAGAATGAATTGTTTATTATACGCCACACGATTATGTAACAACCCCGTTTATGTTTTGCAACTTTTGCTTCAGCACTCTCGTCCAGGTACGTTATTATCTTGTAGCTCGTATGTTACAGAACTTAGTTCTGACTCGTTCTATGTACTGAATAGTGTTTTTTCACTCTTGCTGAGTCCCGACTCGCTCTAGCCTCTGCAGACCGTTGAGGCATGCAGGGCGACGCCGCGACCGCCGACGAGGTCACGGTCGCGCGACATGGTGGCCGAACGACAGGCATGCTTTTGAAAGTCCGCCATGGTCATTCTAACCGTGTTCCTCAGAGAGATTAGTCTTACCTGAGCTTTATTAAAGTTTCGAGTAACACTAATGAGTATGTGAAACTTATCCGACTAAATGGCCAGGGTATGGGAGCATAATAAGCTTTCGGGCTCTTGGTATCTATAATCCTTTCCATCACCTTTTTCACTCTTCTGCGAGCCCCTACAAACACTACGACGATGGCCAACAAGGCAAAACTTGAGGCACTCCTGACTCTAATCAACACATCCGCACGAGATGCCATCGCGTTGTATGAGCAGTACGGGGATGTACCCGCCATCGACCAGACAGAGCCCCACCCGTTGGACAATGCAGTCGACCAGGTAGCTTTGAAGAGTGCTATTCGTACTCTTGAAGGTGCTTGTGCTCAGATATGCGCGACACTTGCTCCACCTGCCCATACTGCAGTTAACGTGAATACTTGTATAATATAACGCACTTTACTTTTGCTCATCAGATTGTACGCAGCTTGTCCAAGTGTATGATCATGCTTGCATGCGAGTAGTTGCTCGGGAACATGTTTCTGATATTCTGTTGAAGTACCCCAAGGGTCTTCACGTCAACGAGCTCTCCAAACAAATCAACATCGAGCCAAAGAAACTGGCCAGGATAATGCGCCTCCTGGCCACGAGAGGTTGCTATAATGAAGGTAAGGAGCTATTTGTTACTTGGTTTGATTTCTTCTCAGACTGCGCCAGTTGACATGAACGTTTTTGCCAACAACCGACTGTCTCTGATCCTACTCGACGAGAATCCTGTCAAATACATGATCTTGCTTCACGTGGACATAGTTGCCAAGGGAGCACCGGTTTTCTATGAGACGCTCAAAGATCCAAAGATTGCCTACTCGTATGAACCAACGGTTGCCCCTGTGATGTACGCCATTAACAAAAATGGAACTGAAGGAACGCTCTTCGACCGGATGGCGCGGCATGTATGTTTTTAAAATATCGCTCGCGTCAGGAAGCTTTACTCATATAATCTACTCGTAGGACGGCCAACGCCAGGTAGGGATTTTGGTCCCTCCATACGATCATTCTGACGTCTCTAGTAGTCCTATCATACGTCGATGAGAGGTCTGAATGACATTATGGGCTCCCTCGCCGTCCTGACTCGTAAGTATTTGAGCACACAAAGACAGGATAACTTTGTGCTAACCTGATAATAGATTTCCCATTCGAAAAGCTCTCAACAGTCGTCGACGTTGGAGGAGGTATCGGAGCATTTTCTCTGCCTTTGGCTAAAACGCATAAAAACGTTAAAATTATAATCCACGATCTTCCGGAAGCATTAGTCCAGGCGAGAGACGTAAGTTGGTAGGACAATGTACTTGCCGCCAAATTGATGGAATCTAGATCTGGGCGAGAGAATGCCCTGAGGCCCTGACAGAAAACAGGGTCGAGTTCGAGAATTTGGACTTCTTCAAACAAGTGCCCGCGAAGGGTAAGGACATCTACTATGTAAGTGCTAGACTCTGTAGGTGACAACCTGCAAAGTTGACAATGATCGCAGCTCAGAAATATCATCCACGACTGGCCTGACCGTGAAACTGCACTCATTCTTTCAAACCTTCGCAAGGCGCTCGGTCCAAACAGCCGCGTCCTCATCCGTATGTCAAATATAGTGTGATCATCGTCCCAGTCTGACAATTTTAGATGACTATGTGCTCCGCCAGCTCAGCCGCAAACAAGCAGTAATAGAAGCTTCAGAGCTCGGAGTTGTTTCGGTATGTCATGTCCGCTGACCTACATCCATCTTTGTTCATCTCCGCACCTAGGCCCCTGAACCTCTTCTTGCAAACTTTGGTGTTGGAAATATGCGTTTATACCAGCAAGACATGACTATGTTGTTCATACACAACGCGATGGAGCGAACACTGCAAGATTCCCTCACACTCGCGTGAGTAATGTTCGATTACTGCCTTGGCTTCACCTGATTGGTTTGGAATAGCACTGCCGCCGGTCTGAAACTAGAGAAAGTGTGGGACCTTGTCGAAACATGCGTCTTGGAGTATTCTGCCGCATAATATTCGAGCTAATCAATTGTTCATCCACATATATCTTCACATGCGAAGATATACTGCACGCCACATACTTACCAGAACACACCTGAATTTCCGATAGTTTATTTAATTAGCTTAATTACTGCCTTGCAAAATATCTCAGCCCGCGATCAAATTTCAACGAGAACTGTTATACCGATATAAACACTCGTCGAGGCTATCGAGTATCTCTCGACCTGCGTCACGATAAGATTGCATAGATGCAGGAGCCTCTGCTTCTTCACATCATTACGCTGTATGAGTTTGCAATGCCATCACCCCGGGCCTGCCATACGGCTTGATCATAGAATTATATGTTCTCGCGAACAATCAGCCCGTATATCGAAGATATGGGAAGCTGGGGAGTTTATCGAAGAACGCGCCTTTCAGTTGTAGGATAAGTACCTCGTACAACAACTTCGCTAAGTTCAGCCGTGATCCTTGACTCCTGGTTCTCCCGCACCAGTATGAGAACCTCGTTGTTATCTATGATGGAGATGTCCATCTTTGCCGACGACTCAAGTGGAAGTATATGATAGATCAAGATATCTAAGTGTGGGTAGGTGGGGGAAGGTAAGGCACACCAAAGAATTTATGTTTGGGTAGGCTTGGAGGTTTCGGCCAGTCCATTCACTGCTAGTTTTCGCGATCCATTTCAAGTCTGTCATCAGCTATGGGACAGTGATAATGCATGTTATAGGAGACAGCGATGATGGGATTCAGGAATTTGAGCTGATTGGCCGGGCCAGGTGAAATTGATGCAACACTGTCACGAATCCTACGGGAGTACAGATCATGTTCAAACACCTTGTGAAGTATTGAAATAGATGATATCTGCATATACATTTGCATTCACTGTCATGCAAACACCAGACAACATGAGTACACGTTAGGACAGCACAACCCACCTCCACCAGCGAATTATCTCCTGCCACCATGGTCTCTCTCCCTCTCATTAGACATCCTCCTGCGCCTATCACCTCCAGGAGAACGTTCATTCCGCTCTCTCTCAGGATAATCATCCTTGCGCCGCCGTTCATATCCACCATCCCGCCTACCTCGATCCCGTCCATCCATATCCCGCTTGCGAGGCGGAGGGGACCGGTCATCTCTCCTGTGGCGAGGAGAGTCGCGACGGGTATATCCTCGTCCATCCCTTTGTCGCGGGGGAGGCGACGGGGACGGCGTACGAGAGGAATAGCGCCCGCCTCGGCGTAGAGGAGGCGAGCGAGAGTCGTCTCGAGCACCACGACGTGGGGGCGGGGGCGGAGTGCGCGAGTCATCTCGGGCGACACGGCGTGGGGGTGGGGTTGGGCTACGCGAATCGTCCCGCCCATCACGGCGTGCAGGGGGACGACGAGAGTCGTCTCGCACACTACGGCGTGGTAGAGAACGCGAGTCATCCCGCCCTCTGCGAGGAGGAGTTCGTTGACGTCGCCTGGAGTCCACAGAAGATTCTGATTCTGATGGGGAAGTGTCCGAGCCAGAGTCGGACTCAGAATCAGAGTCAGATGAATCGGAGTCACTACTGGATGAACTCGATTCTTGTTCCAGCATGGCACGTCGTTGTTCCATAATAAGGCGTGGGGCGTTCTACCAGAAAAAAGTAAGTCCCTTCAATGCTTTGAGCATGTAGACTTGACATACCTTGAGGTACTCTCTCATTTGTTCGGTGAGAACACCAAGTCCAATGCTCGTGAAGTAGTTGATGGAGAACCGTGTGTTTTTCGGGTTGTCCATTGGGAACATGTCCTTCGTCGCGTGTTTAACCTGCTCATCCTTGAACCTCTCCGCGAGCGTTTTCAATCCCATACTCTCCATCATCTCTTGCATCATAATCTTGATGAAAATACGGCTTGAGCTCGTCGTGTCCTCCTCGTTGATCTTGACACACTCGAGCACAATCCAGGAGACGGCATCGGTCGCGAGCATGTGCCCGAAGAAACGAGAAATGTTGCGCAGGCGATTTGTCTCATACCGATGGATTGTTGTGTAGTAATTGACGAAGGCCTGCTCGAGAGCATCTGTCCAGACACGGTTGAGTTTGCTGAAGCGCTCGCCAACAAGACCATAGAAGTTAGAGTAAGAACGTTCTTGCGAGCAACACTCGATCACCATGTTGATGAGCTCAATCTAAAAAGACAGTCAAGCATTTGCAAAACGTTGACTATACGACCACGTACCTCGTCGCCTTCTTTTATCTGTACTTTGAGGAGCTTATGTACGGCTTCCTCGTAATTGAGGGCATTCATGATTGTCAAGTAGATCGTTCTACGTAGGTTCACGAGATTGGTCTCCGTACGGTCTTCGATGCCTTCTTTGTCTGCAACCACTGCATGATATGAGCTCGCAACTCAAGATATGACGCCGAACGAAACAAACCTTCGTCTTCATCCTCGCTAGACGACTCTTCAGAGCCAGATTCTTCGTCATCTGAGCCTTCACCTAGAATCTCAGCCCTGATAGACTTGTACTTTTCCTCGTTCTCCAGGTAATTAGGATCAAACTTGAAAATATCTATATGCAAATTTTAGGCAAAACTTCTTTTGTCAGAACACGAGTACGCACTTAGTCCTTCCTGAACCTGGAGCTCTTCCTCGAGCTGGATTTGATGTGTAATCTGCTCTTCTTCTTCGACCAAGTCGAGACCTTCAGGAAGGATTGGGTTATCCTTGTACTTGTCCTTCCGAGTTTGCATTAGGACTTCGATCATATATTGAACCCTGTGGCTGATCGACCCTTCGTTCAAGACAGCACGGAATCGCTCAAAGACAGTCGCATTGGCTTTTGGTGAGTTTTCAGCGAGGAAGGCGCCTACTTCGCGCATGAAGCCGACAGCGATTTCAATCGAATCATCGGTGGGCCGCTCGAGAAGAAGAACCAGGATTTGGAGAGCTATGATTTCATGAGCGACGGCTTGATTAACGAGATGAGCGATAAAAGTCGTCGTTGAGTGGCATACAATCTTGGAAGGTGAGGTGAGCAAACTCAAAATTCGACTGTAGCTTTCGATTTCGCTTACTTTATCATTTCGCTTGAACGATCGTCTGAATTGACTGATCAAACGAGTGAGAACAAGTTCTCCCACTTGAGGGAGTTTTGTGTTGATAACGGCCACCACAGCAGCAAATACGGGTGTAAATGGCAAACTTGATGACTGCGCCTTCATGATGCTCCGAGAAAAAAGGCCTCGGCCGCGGATGAGATTTTCGGAGAAGAGTTCAGGGACAATTTGCTTTATATTCGCAATATTGACTCGGTTGACAATACCAGTGAGGGATTTGCGGAGGGCATCCCAAGATAATCGCTGGTATTCTGGACTGGTTTTGTCGCTGGCAGCAGCGGCTTGCAAGGCGCGTAAACGTGCAGGGGGCATGTACACACCACCCGAGCGTGAGCCTATGAGCTTGGCAAATTCAGCTTTCCTTTCTGCTTCGTCCTGTGCTCTGTCTTGCACTTTGGGATTTGTCGCTTTTTCGAGATTCATAGCTACTATATTTGCAGCAAGCTGCCTCTCTCTCTCGGCCCGTCGAATGGGGTCCACATCGTTTACACGAGGAAGGTCTATATGAACACGAGACGGTGACTGTGAACGACGGCGAGTTGCCGGTGGAATGCCATCTGGTTCACTAGGTGAGCGAGAACGAGACCTGAAAACATTATAAGCGGTCGAATGTTTCAAAATACGATCTCCAAGTACCTCTTTCTACGCCCAGAAGGACCGTCATCTGAAGCAGTTTGAGGGGGGAGCGCTGTTGTTGCCATCGTCGTCCGTGACCAACTGAACCCGTGGGAGTTCCCTTGCTTGTCAATACACTTAGTCAGCAATATACTGTTTACGCATAAATGCTTTAATCCCGGGCCATACGGTCGTCCTTATAGGAGTCGGAGACCCGGTGTGCGAAAGTGCTTGTTCCAGGAGCAAAGTTTGTGAGTTAGCCCGTGAACATCATGGAGACACTCGAAGTCCTGGCATCCATTACTAGGGTAGGTTCAATGTATGCTCCGTGACTATTATGTTCTGATCTGTGAATGCGTGGATAGCTCAGTGATCGCGTAGTAAGAGTGTTGGGCCAGGTAAATGTCACATCGTTGAAGCGCATACTCCCAATGTAACTCTCTTCCACAGAACCCAGGAAAATTCACACTTCAAGGTAACTACTAACCACTTTTTTCTAAAAACTCAAACCAAACGGCTCTTGTAACAGGGACAAATACTTATCTTATCGGCGAGCGCAACCCCTACACGCTCATAGACACTGGTGAAGGCAAGGACGCATACATCCCTCAGCTCGAGTCCGCCCTCTCCAACACTTGCAAGCTCACGAACCCAAATGAACCCCACATATCTGACATCGTCATCTCTCACTGGCACCATGACCACACACGCGGGATCAACTCCGTCCTTTCGCTCTTACGGAGAATGTGGGACGGGCGGAACACACCGGCTCAGTTCAAGCCTCCCCGTATCCATAAATTCCCCCTTCTGAATGTGCCGTCCGACTCTAACAAAACTATCGCGCTACCACCTCCGGGTACATATACCCCCACCGTCAACGGTGCCTTCCTCCACGACCTCGTGCACGGCCAACTTTTCCCCATAACCGGCTCACCCTCACCCATGCGAGTCATACACACCCCAGGACATACTCCCGATTCCATCTGCCTCCACGTCCCCGATGACCGAGCCCTCTATACAGCTGACACTGTCCTAGGCCAGGGAACGGCGGTGTTTGAGGACCTAGGCACATATATTTCCTCCCTGCACAGGCTCCTCGCATTTCAATCTGATTATACTGTGTTGTACCCTGGGCATGGCCCTATCGTCGCTGAGGGCCCTAAGCTTATCGGTACATACGTCGCACATCGGATGGAGAGAGAGGCACAGATTGTTAGCGTCATTGAGAAACCTAGATCTGACGGGCAGCCTTGGTCTACGTGGGGAATTGTATCCACGATATATTCTGCGTACCCGCAGGATCTATGGGAGGGCGCGGCACAAAGCGTGAATCAGCATCTTGCGAAGCTTCAAGCCGAGGGCAAGGCGAAGAAGGTTGGGGGCGAGGGCAAGGACATCAAGTGGGAGCTGCTAGCGAAGCTATGAAGGACGCGAAGGGCCCGTTTTCCAAAGAAGAATATAGCATGAACTAGATCGTGCATTCAATGTAATATACAAGTAACATATACCGTGAAAATCTCGCGAGCACGTGTACGTTACAGTGCATCAAAATTGATATGATGCGATGCCCTCCTCCGCTCCAGCTCATCCTCCCTCTTCTCATTCAGGTGCAGTACGAAGACAATGCCTGCCAAAATGAAGGTTGCAGCTACGACTGTAAGCGTTACCCATGGGACCCAAGCCCCTGGCCGGAGGAACAGCTCCCTTCGCCATGCCCCATCACCAAGGGCAGGGTGGATGACGACGCGCGAGTTTGGAATGACGCCTTCCATATTGATGAAATGTTCCTGTGTGTGCTTGGTTGAGCCGACAAACAGGTTCTCGATGTAATTGTTGGTGCGCCCGAGCCCGAAGAATGAATATGGCGTCAGAAGGGAATGGTAAGAAGTTTGAGGAAGTTGCCCGACTTGAGCAGCGGTACGACGGCCAGAAGTGTCAAGAACTGTGTATTTATACGATGCACCAGAGTAGCTCACGCCGAAGGGCTACATCAACTACATCAGCGCAGTTCCCCACGAGATTAGAGAAAACCTTACGGAGTACGTCGAGCCGTTTGAATCCGTACACCATCCATTATTACATGCACCATTTAGCACTGAGCGAGGTATGAGCATGGCAGTCATGAAGAAATATTTCTCCTCACCTATAGCATTCAAAAAGAACGCATCATAATAAAAATTGTTCTGGACAAACAACACACTGCCTTGCTTTTGCTCCCCATTTCGCTGCACGATCATATCCAGCGTACCCTTGCATACAGGTCAAGTCAACCCCATATGTAGAATCCAGAAAATAGATACTCACATCCTCATCCATATCCAAAAACGAGACTCCGCGCGCGTCCTTCACAGCTTCCAAAGACTCAGCACCTTTCGTGACAAGTTTGAAGCCCCTCCTGCCATTCCCCTGTTCGTCGCATCCTCCCAGGCCCTTAGCACAAGGCTCGGAAAATAATAGTTTGGGTGTACGTGATTGATCAGAGGGGTTCGAGACAATGAGGAGGAGATCCGGAAAACCATCAAGGTTAGCGTCTCCGAGCTTGACGGGTAGAGGGATAGACGGAGAATATGTGGTATCGAGGACTAGAAGAGAGCTCGTGGGAGAGGAGGGAAGAAGGTTTGAGAGTGGTATCTGTACGTATGCCTGGAGTATACTAAGTAAGGCTGTGGAGGGCAGAGAGTGGGCAGCGACGAACGTCGTTTTCGCTTCCTGTACTCAAATCGAACTTGAAGTTTGGGTCAGCAGTGCACAGCTCCTCTGGTCGCCGACAGGTTCGCCTTCCTTGTTTGCCTATGGCAGGGGATGTCGGGGAAGTGCACAGCGGTAATTGTTTGTTGTACACTATGTTGATAAAACAGCCAGAGCCCACGCCAGCTGAGGAAACGGATGAGCATGAGGGAAATACCATGTCGATAGTGCCATCCCTGTCTGTCTATTGGTTGGTATGGTTCGGAGGGGTGAAGAATGAGGGGGACAAACCGACGTCAGCAAAAGATATCCCCTGCGTCCCAGAAGGCAGGTCACCGCTCTGGTCTAACGAGAATCCAGAGTCCTTGTTATTAACCCAGATCTGGTATGACTTCTTCCCCGAACTATCCTGGCATACCAGAAAAATATCTCCAAACACAATTGTTGAGTTGACAAATGGTATAAAATTGTCCTACATACCTGCTAAACAATCACCATTGAGATCAATCACAGCATTGCTGTGAGGATTGGCGAGCGTGCACTGGTTTCCAGTAAAAGGAGGGTCAATACTATCTCATAGTCAGCTGAAAGATGCCGCGCGCAACCTGAGACGCTTACAGTTCGAACAGCGTCGGTGGACTCTGCGACGCATTCCAGATATTCCGCCAGACTGTGAAGGGGGCGGTATAAGTTCCTTGCAAATATGCAGTGCCCAACAGGTCAATTTTCATGTCTCCATCGATATCAACTGGTATGGGTTCCGAGAGCGTCGAAGATGCGACTGAAATAGAGTCTGACGCTAAAAGTTACGATTATGGTAGAACGTTTGGCATGAGAGAGATACCACACACCAAATGTACCGTCGTGATTACCTGTGTAGAGAGTCATATCTAGTCTATCTGAAGAAGCGCGATTTGAGCTCATGACAAGCACATCAAGCTTGCCGTCGTGCGTGAAATCGCCTGGGATGACATTATGAATAGGCCACTGGTGTCGGACCGATGAGACCTTCTTGAATGAAAACACATCTACCCGGAGTGGAGTGATTAGAGGGAATATTTATGAGGTGTTCTATGATCTAACCGTGTTGCCAGAGGTACACAGACAAAGTCTGCTGGTCCGAGTCTACTGACAGGACGTCCAAGCTATTGAGGCGAAAGATTCAATATATCATCCACATATAGACACATGTGTAACCCACAACTGGTCCCCATTAAAGTCTCCAAATGCGACTATCCGATCCCCGTCATTAATGCCCACTAAGCCCGCATCCAGGAGAGAGTTCTTCGTGAACTGTTTCGGCGAGAACGGCCATATTGATGCGACGGGTGACGAGAGCAGCAATAGGGTCAATGTCAGGTATGCTGGAATGGATAGTAATGGCTGGTGTCTTTGTGCGCTCCAAGACTTGAAGAATGAGCTGCCCATGGTGAATGCAGAGTTACGCTAACTAGCTTCTGTGTGTAGCAAAATTATTCTGTTACTTCTGGGGCAAGGGTGTTACAGCCACGGAAACCCTGAAAAGCTTGACACGCGCTCTTCCGGAGGGGGTAATTGAGAGTACTACGCAGGTTTGGTGACGGTGTCAAACGATGAGGCAAACACCATGTTCTTCTCACGTGATCTTTACGTGATTTTTCCGCGCATATCCGACGCCGTTGCTTTAATGCTGTCACCCGTGTTTTCTCTAGTACATTTTGCACTCGCCAGTTCTCAGCTCGTTGATCTTGTCCAGCGCTTACTCCAATTGCCGATAATGAATGTTAATAATTATCACACAAGGCTAAAATATAGCTGCTGGGTTTTGGCGTTCGTTTTCGCTCGTTCCCCAGGTCTAGCATTGTGAGTCTATACGAGTTCTTGGTACCCTGTTATCATTCCTCGGTTCCTTCGAACAACTTCAAACCCTGAGCATACAAATTCCGGACACCCTCATGGTATTCGCAATTGAAAAGACCCCCAGACTCGATCTCACGATAAAGGCGTGGTCGAGTACTAAAGTCAAACTAGTAGTGTGCCGCTAATTTTGGTCTTGTACTAGTGCTATGATGGAATGCATCATGAATTTTTGATCGGTAGTACTTCGTCACGCGTCACACGTCACAGGGCATGAACCTATTTGGAACGCGCAGATCCAGGGTGACTTATATAGTCGAGGTCGTGGACAACGTAAGTATTAGTTTGAAACATCTGCATCAAGATCGATCCTCACCACATAACGTGGGAGAGGGGGTACCGCGTACCCGACTTGGCAGGTTGTTTGTAAAGTTGTTTGTCAATGTCCGTGTTCAATGACACTCCTCAGCGCGCTACTCCGAGTTCATCGACGGTAGACCAGACCAGAACAGATGCATCAGGCTCTACTCATTCCCGACGTCTTCCTTGAAATATTCGCGCATGTGAATCAAGTCTTGAACCCATCGTCTACTGGGGAGAAAGCACTGGCTCGGAAATCTATTGCAGCCCTCGCAACGACATGCAAAACGTTCCACGAGCCTGCAATGGATTTGCTGTGGTCCAAAGTAGATCAGTTGGAACCATTGCTAGGCTGCGTAACGAGGCTACATCCGCTGATATATCATGGCGGTTCAAGGGTCAGTATTTAGTATTCAGTAGTCGTGCTATTTTTTTCATCGGCTAACGGAGCATCCAAAAAGTGGGACAGTACTTGGTCAAAGGGTGTCGAACCATTATCTGCCCATGAAGTCCGTCAATTTCTGCGTCACTCCGCACGCGTTCACTCATTGAGTGTACAATCCGATCACTTTTTTCACCTTCTCTCAGTCATCCCCATCGAAAAGTGCGTCTTCTTGAGGTTGCAGTCGTTAACTTGGAGGCTTTCCACTGCCAAATATTTGGACCTATTCCTGTCCCCCACGCTGCGCCGTTGTTCCCTGTTCACCATCAATCAAAATCTGAAGAATATTGTGACGCGTTGTGCTGCTTTGGAGGACCTATCCATCAAAAAACTAAATTTTGACGCGAGTACAGCAGATGAGCTGTCCTTGCTGTCCGACAGTGTCCGTCTGTGCAAGCAGCTCGTGACTTTGTCTTGTCCCCCGCTCGACTGGGCAGCATGGGAGCACCTCTCCAACCTTCCTAACCTAGTCAGGGTAGGAGTCCGTGACGTGCAGACGTGCAGTGCCCCTGCTTGGTCGTTAGAACGCAATGCCACCAACCCTACGCAATTCCTCAACATCACAGCTCTCTCTTTGCAGGTTAACAGTGCTGGATACATTATCACAGTCTTGCGACACTCACAATTCCCTTCGCTGACGGAGCTCAAGATAGAAACCGATCTTCTGTCTTCGGAAGAGGCAGAGCAACTATTTTGTGCGCTGTCCAACTGCAAAGCATGCCAGACCTTGCAACAACTTGAAATCACCGTGATTAGCGGATCTCGACATCAGGGCAGCTCTTTGACAGCCATTCCACATCTCCTTTGCTTCGCACAGCTCCAAACCCTGCGGCTTGTTTGCTGTTTTTCCTATATCTACCTCGACAACGACCTTCTCTTGGAAGCTATGTCAAACTGGCCGCACCTCCGCACTCTCGAAATAGAAGGCTCATGTCTTCATCCTTCTACTGTTACATTCTGTGGATTATTCACGGCGCTCCGTCTGTGTCCACACCTCCACACTCTGCGGGTGTTGATTGATCCTGTGAACATCGAAATTGGTCCTAACAAAATACAACATACCTCCCTAAAAACAGTGGACTTTGACACCTTATCTCCCATAGTGAATACTGCAGATGTAGCTCGCATCATTTTCAATGTGCTCCCTTGTGTTGACCAAATTAATCAGTTTACAATGCACACAGAGGGGTGGGATGAAGTCAACAGGCATCTCAAATATTTGAAAGCTGCCGTGCTACATTAGGGCTGTATACTGTACTATGGAGACAGATAGTAATGAAAGACGAGACAATGTAATCATTGTACAAAACTTCGTTGAGTCAAGTTCAGACAGTGTTCCTCCGGTCAGTGAACCAAGGTCATGGTCATTGACCACGACTTGTGTGAAAGTTGGTGAAGTTTCAGTAAACATGAAGATGACTTTCAGCGGTTCTCTGGTCCTACCATACTAGACTAGACTATGCATGATCAATATGAGATCAATCATCATTGATTAGATATTTCTGCATGATATCATTATGAATTCAATAGTACACTAACTTTGATAAACGTTCATTGACCGGAAGAACACTGAGTTCAGATTAACGTGGGAGTCAGGGAAGAGATACCACGATGTAAACAAGAAAAAATGGCGCACCATTCAAAATTTCACTAAAAGCTGGTGAACCTGTCACTTTAACGAATTCAGTACGTTTTCAGTGTTCACAAAACTGTTGTCAACTAAGGTGAGCTCTGGGCTAGAACTTCTTCAGTGACGACAACAAAGAGACAAACCGATTCTGATTCACTTTCTCATAGAAATACACCATGTATGTTACACTTACAGTACATATCCCTTTTCAAATGAAGTTAAAGTTTCAAGCGCTTCATAGTAACTGGTCAATCAAGCTCATCGTAAAGTCCTCCACCACTTCAAACCTTGGAATCCCACACGCTTCACTTTCAATGTGCTGCATCAGGCCTGAAACAAACTTGTACTTCCTCTCGCACTTTGGGCACTTGAACTCATCCGCGTCATGCGCCGGAGAGTTGATGTGGGAGTTCAGAGCTCCCAAGGTACGGAAAGTAAGGTGGCAAAAATAACACTCATAAGCAGTGCCGTTGAATGCGCGCTCTGTCACATAGTAAGACGCAACGCGGGTCGATCCGCCTTCTATGTGGCGAGAGACCGAAATCGTAGGCGCTATTTTGAGTGCATGGACTGCCGCGGTTACTTGGGCTCGTGAGATATTGTGACAAGCCCCCGACTGAATGTGAAGGGCGATCGAGGAAGGAATCTTAAATCTCTTTGAGCACAGAGGACACTCGAAATTGTGCACAAGGGATGAGTGCTGTGTGGTGGGGTTTTTATCAACACAAGAAGGGTAAAAGAGAGAGAGCCGCACTTACTTGATCCAATGAAGTAGGGGTGGAAAAATCGCGCGAGCACAAAAAGCACCAGTTGTGCTTTAAGCTGGTAGCAAGGTGCTGATCAAGACTTGCTAAGTCAACAAACCACTTGTTGCATCCCACGCAGAACGGCGGTTCTTCGCCATCATCGTCATCTTCGTCATCGTCGCTCTCGAAGGCATACTCATCTGACACAACGCGGGTCGGTCCGCCTTCTATGCGGCGAGAGACCGAAATCGTAGGCACTATTTTGAGTGCATGGACTGCCGTGATTACCTGGGCTCGTGAGATATTGTGACAAGTCCCCGACTGAATGTGAGGGGCGATCGAGGAAGGGGTCATAAACCTCTTTGAGCACAGAGGACACTCGAAATCCAGGCCTTCGTGCACAGGGGATGAGTGCTGTGTGGCGGGGTTTTTATCAACACAAGAAGGGTAAAAGAGAGAGAGCAGGACTTACTTGATCCAATGAAGTCGGGGTGGCAAAATCGCGCGAGCACAAAAAGCACCAGTTGTGCTTTAAGCTGGTAGCAAGGTGCTGATAAAGATTTGTCAAGTCAACAAACCACCTGTTGCATCCCACGCAGAACGGCGGTTCTTCGTTATCATCATCATCTTCGTCATCGTCCGAGCTCTCGAACGCATACTCGTCTATGTCATTCCAGTGCTGACATAAAAGGAGCGTGAGTTGGGCGAAAATAGCGACAGGCGCCTCCCCGCACCTGATACAGTCCAGCATAATTATAGAATAGTGTCTTGCAATCCTCGCAGAAGGGGTGGTCAGCTTTGTCGCGACAGTGGGTAAACAATGCATGAGTGGAACGAAATAAACGGTTGCATAGATTACACTGCCACTTTGCCATGATAGTGGAAGTCAAGACGAGGGTCGCCACAAGGTTCATCGATCATCAGGGAAATCCTCAATCTCAAATCGGATCCAATGTGATCCAATTTGCGTCAATCTGCGAGCATTCGATAAGCTTGAAAGGGGCACGGATGTTTCCCGATTGTTCCGGCCCTGATTCTGTCATAAGCATTAATGCTATACGACGATCCTCGTGCCAGATACGTATGACCCTCAGTTAGTATCTTGATGATTCTGTTGTCGTGAGACATCTGATAATGGGACACGCGTATCAAGCAAGGTCGTGACATGCTAGACAATTTTCGGCTCAGCAGCCTCAGCCAGCCAGCCAGCCATCTAGTTGCTACTGGCTTGCAGGCGGCCATATGGAACAGAGTGCTGCGCAGATATCATCATGATAAGAAAATGAGTAAGAAGGAGACCCGTGACAATTAGCTTTCAAAAACAATGTTTACCTAAAACCACGGTGCTTCAAAGTTACAATCCATATAATCAGGTCAGTCGCAAAACGGAAGTCTTTTCTCTTCTCTCTCACCAATTATTTGTCATTAGGCCGCAACCAGGATCCGATTCAGCGTCCTCCTGCTACTTCCCACCGTGCATCCATGACCTCCAAGTTTCCAGATTACGATTGGCATGTCCAAGCAAGCAATTCTTGCTGTCCCACTTGTTATGCCGCTGTTGATGTTCCAGTGGAACATATGTCCATCTAGAGTGGTCCGCCTAGCATGCGGACAATCCATACTTCTGTTGCAGTTGTGCACTCCCAATTCAAAAGGCTCCGCGCATAATGTGAATCCGCGTTTAGCGTATTTCACCAGCGCTTCGGCAGTGCGTGGGTTTGTCTTGTCTTCCATGTAGAGTCGTGGATTAATGAATCCCTTTCTGCTGCACGTCCATTTGGGATACTGCACGATACAAACGAGACGATGCTGCGAACGGCTCAGGAAAGATAGGATTAGTAGAGTGGATACTTTAGAAGCTCAAACACGACTGCATTAGATATACAGACCGAATCACACACATGCACGCGAAGCAAATTCACGAACATGATCTTTACGATCTGATGACGACACATAAATAGAATGAGCCTCAGCGTATTGCTCTCTAGTAAGTGTCGCGAAGTTCGCGACAATCACTCGCAGATTCGGCGCCATTACAGGCAGTAGCGAACCAGCAGGATATGAAAGACACACGATCACGAGAAACACCCAAAAACCCAAAGTATTTGCGCAAAACACACGACGACATCACAAACGTGCCATGTCTACGAGCGAGACGGGAGGACATAACACAGTTTGGTCAATCACGGAGGATGAACCAGAAGCCATGGATAGAGACGAAGACAACAGACAGAAACAGGAGGGACCAAGAGGCGTGCAAAAGGAGAATCCCGAACACAGAGCTCGCCTTTACATAAGCTAATGAACCTTAATATACAGCCACTCTAAGTCAAGAGGCGTGCAAAACTAGAGTTCAGCACACTGACCTGTCAGAACTTGGGTACCCCCTACGCCTACCGTGACAGCGTAACCGATCACGCAATTTATCCATATTAGGTAGTCGTTTGAAAAAATGAATCGACTGAACAATCACAGAGCAAAATGTACAAGTTGCAGCAATACAATGAATGAAGTACGTAGACGACTGGCATAAGTCCGCCGTCAAGTAATAACTCAAGCACCGAGTGCAGAAAGAGCCGCTGGAATAGTTGTTCGAGCCTTCTTTGAAGGACAAGATGGACCTGCCTGGGGTGCGGCAGAGCGTTTTGAACTGCAGGAAATCAACAGAGGTATGTTCTCCTTCCCAATCTCGACCGGGGGAGTATAGGAAGGCTTCCAACACGTCTTCGGGATGCGTGAAGCGGTCTGCTCCAAGTCCGTGAGTCTCATCTCCTTCCAAACATTCGCAGGCAGCGCTAAACCAGCATCTCTCTGTCCCGGTACCACATATTCCTCGTGCTCCTGTAAGATGTGCTCATGCATATTGTAGCGCCAAACAGCACTGACTGGGATGATAGGTGTCTTTCTTGTTGTCTTGCCGGGTGCTGGAGGGAGAACAGGGTGACAGAGTTCACACTTCAATGGTAGGTTGCCTTCGAACCGACATCGGCGGACGTGTATCGGAATTGGTGCTGGTACGCGCACTTGGTGTCCCAAGTCGTTGCGGCTTTCGCAGGCACAGTGATAGTGATAGCACACTCTGGTCGTCCGGAACGCCCACAAAAGCTGCATGGAAGTGTGTTGCCAACCTTGTAGATAGTCATAAGTGTAAACTAAAAATGCAATTTAACAAAACGTACTGGTTCTTTCAAAGCAACCTCTTCTGGCGTGTTACTCAATGCACGCAGGATGTGCTGACGAGACACGTCGAATTGACGCATCATATTGATATTAATTAGTCACGTGTTCTCAAAAATCACATCCAAGATCTGACATTTAGCAGGTATCATGTTTACATGCTCATGTTTCATTAAAATAACTATCTATATCTATTCTACAGTAGTAAAAACACCCCCTTTACGGTACTCGCCAAACGATTTCACGATGATTTGAGGCCGCTGGCGAGAAACTCAAAATGTGTCACTCATAACTTAGAGTGGCTGTATATTAAGGTTCATTAGCTTATGTAAAGGCGAGCTCTGTGTTCGGGATTCTCCTTTTGCACGCCTCTTGCTCTAAGTTATGAGTGACACGTTTTGAGTTTCTCGCCAGCGGCCTCAAATCATCGTGAAATCGTTTGGCGAGTACCGTAAAGGGGGTGTTTTTACTACTGTAGAATAGATATAGATAGTTATTTTAATGAAACATGAGCATGTAAACATGATACCTGCTAAATGTCAGATCTTGGATGTGATTTTTGAGAACACGTGACTAATTAATATCAATATGATGCGTCAATTCGACGTGTCTCGTCAGCACATCCTGCGTGCATTGAGTAACACGCCAGAAGAGGTTGCTTTGAAAGAACCAGTACGTTTTGTTAAATTGCATTTTTAGTTTACACTTATGACTATCTACAAGGTTGGCAACACACTTCCATGCAGCTTTTGTGGGCGTTCCGGACGACCAGAGTGTGCTATCACTATCACTGTGCCTGCGAAAGCCGCAACGACTTGGGACACCAAGTGCGCGTACCAGCACCAATTCCGATACACGTCCGCCGATGTCGGTTCGAAGGCAACCTACCATTGAAGTGTGAACTCTGTCACCCTGTTCTCCCTCCAGCACCCGGCAAGACAACAAGAAAGACACCTATCATCCCAGTCAGTGCTGTTTGGCGCTACAATATGCATGAGCACATCTTACAGGAGCACGAGGAATATGTGGTACCGGGACAGAGAGATGCTGGTTTAGCGCTGCCTGCGAATGTTTGGAAGGAGATGAGACTCACGGACTTGGAGCAGACCGCTTCACGCATCCCGAAGACGTGTTGGAAGCCTTCCTATACTCCCCCGGTCGAGATTGGGAAGGAGAACATACCTCTGTTGATTTCCTGCAGTTCAAAACGCTCTGCCGCACCCCAGGCAGGTCCATCTTGTCCTTCAAAGAAGGCTCGAACAACTATTCCAGCGGCTCTTGTAGCAGATAGCTCAGCGACGTACGAAGTCAACTAGGTCATATTGGTATACCTGTAGCAGATAGCTACAGTTGATGTTAGTTACATAGGTACTAGATACTAAGGACGGTACTAACCTCAGCGACGTACGAAGTCAACTAAGGGTAGTTACGAGGCGCGGGAACAAATGGTATTTGTAGGTAGGTAGAAATGAAACGGTACCGAGTGTCCATAGTAGCGAGGGTTTGATAATCCAACACTCCCCCTCAAACTGAGCGCAGTCCGAGGGCGGAGGCAAAATGTTTAACTTTGAGACTAGGAAGGGCTTTGGTGAGAGTGTCCGCGATCATGCTATCTGTAGGACAGTAAACTAAAGAGATAGAACCTTTTTCGACGGAAAAACAGATAAAATGGTAACGGATGTCGATATGTTTCGTGCGCGCGTGAAATGCGCCAGAATTAGCGAGCGCGATGGCAGATTGGTTGTCCGAGTAGAGCGTGGTTGGTTGCGTGAGCGGGTGGAATATTTCGGTGAGGAAACGACGAAGCCAAATTGCTTCTTTAGCAGCGTGCGTAGCTGCGACGTACTCTGCTTCCGTCGTGGATAGGGTGACTAGTCCTTGCTTTTTCGAACTCCAGCTGACGGCCCCGCCATCCAGGATAAATGCATGCCCAGAAACAGCGTGCCTGTGCTCTTGAGAGGCACCATCCGTGTCCGCAAAACCTTCAAGGCCGCGCTTTCCGTCACCAAAGGTGAGCACGAGCTTCTTTGTTCCTACCAGGTACCTGTAAATTCTCTTTACAGCGTCCCAATGCACTAATCCTGGATTCGCGCCATATTGCGCCACGGTTGACACTGCGAACGCGATGTCTGGCCGTGTGCCAACGGCCAGATGCATGAGCGAGCCAACAGCTTCGCGGTACGGTATGTTCTTCATCAGGGTAGATTCGGTTGGGTTTTTGGGACACTGAGACTGGGTGAGCGGCGCATTTGGGTCCATGGGGATGGAGCACGGCTTGAGGTCCGTGAAGTTATACTTGGCCAGGATGGACTCGATGTAGGTTTCGTGGGAGAATGATATGGTGCGCGCGACTCGGTCGCGCGTCACCTTCATGCCGAGAAGGGATGCTATGGGGCCAAGGTCCGTTAGTTTGTAGCGCGAGGCTACGTCTCATTTGAACTCTGCGACGAGCTTGTCGCTACTACCAGTCACTGTGCAGTCATCCACATGTGACGCAAGGATTAGAATGTCCGCGCCGATATGCTGATAGAAAACTCCCCAGTCAGACTCTGCGCGCGTCATCCCTAAGCTCTTCATCAACCGACACAACTCTTGGTACCACTTCAACGCCCCTTGTTTTGATCCATAAAGTGCGACGTGGAGACGAGCGACGGGATGTTTGAACTTGTCGTCAATGCTGAGGCCAGGTGGGAGTTCCATGTAGATTACCTCATCAGCGTCTAATTTCCCGTTTAGGAATGCGCTATGGAAATCGAAAACGTCAATGTCCCAATCCTGTCGTGCTGCTACAGCGAGGATCGTGCGAAGGGAAGCAAGGTGCGCCACTGGCGCATAGGTGTCATAGTAGTCGAGGCCGTAGACTTGTGAGTACCCTTTCGCTACTAATCTTGCGTTGTACTTCTCAATTTCTCCATCAGTGTTTCGCTTTATCCGAAACACCCACTTGCAGCCGACAACATTCACGTTGTCTGGGTGCTCGACGACAGTCCAGGTGCGTGCGTCTTCCAACGCGTCAAGTTCCTTGTTGATCGCGCCTTCCCATTTAGGCCAGTCGGTTCGGACGCTTGCTTCTTTGACGGTCGTGGGATCCGTTCCTTCCACAGCTTCCACACCTGCCATCATTGCAAATACCTCCTCGTCGTCTTCATCTATCTCACCATACTCCCCCGCCATTCCTAGCTCAACAGCTAGATGACTGGACTCACCCACAGGCTGTATCCCGCGAGGTAAGTCTGTACTGCTGCCATCTGTGGTGCCTGTGCCGTCGCGCAGGCTCTTTATATATGCTGACTCGATTCTCACTCGGCCAGATCGACGCGGCGGTGCTACATTCTCGAATCAAGGGCCTAGGTGGTCAGAAGGAGGTGGATTGGTGTTTGGAGCTGGTGGTGGACTGGTACGTTTTGAACCGATATCATCGATTCGTACCGTGCGGCTAACTGGTTGTTTAGGTGTTGAACCGACATCATCGATTCGTACCGTGCAGTCTGCCGGTGCGTTACCTCCTTCTAGAGGGACTTCCACCTCCGCCGTATCGAATACGACGCTCCTCTCGACGGCGACTCTCCTGGATTCCGGCAAGTAGATGCGGTGACCATTGCTGGCATGGTCGAATCCTACCCATCTCCCATCGACTGCTCGCATGTCGAGCTTGGATCCGTTCGGCGAATGGACCTTCACACGACAGCCCCATTCCAGTAAGTTTTCCATGTTAGGCTTCTTCTTGTACAACGCTTCATACGGCGTCATGCCGTTCAGCGCCCGGGTGGCAGTTCTATTTTTGAGCCAGGTTATATGCATTATTGCCTCCCCCCACAAGAACTTGGGGAGTCCGCTTGCGTGTAGAAGCGCGCGTGTACGCTCTACGAGCATACGATTCTGACGTTCGGCTAATCCGTTGTGCTCTGGAGTGTCGTGGACGGTGAGTTTGTAGTTATCTGTAGTTTAGAGTAGATGTTTTAGAGTAGAATATTTGATAAAAAGGCTGAATTCATTGTAACTACTTCGTACAATATATATACTGTTAAACGGTTAATACTATGCGTCCGATCCGAAACATATGAAAACGGACTTGTCTGTTCTCCGTGCTGTGCTTACTAATCGACACCGCTCCGGCTATTCCCGGGTAAGTCGGTGTTCCCTACATTATTCATCTATGTATGTATTACTAATCCTTTTACTCCTGTGCTCGTACAGTCATCATGTACGACTGAGTCCAACACTCCCCCTCGAGCACAGTCCACCTTCATCTTCCCTCTCAATTCCCTAAACCGTGGTGCCGGCAGTGCTTTCGTAAAAGCGTCCGCAACGTTTTCGAGCGTCGGACAATATTGGAGTTGGATGGTGCCGTTTTCGACAAGGTCGCGGATGTAATGATACCTTATGTCAATATGCTTGGTGCGTGCGCGGAATTTGTTGTTTGATGCTAACGCTATTGCTCCTTGGTTGTCGCAGTAGGTGGGGATACATTCATCCATCGGCTCGTATAGCTCACTGATGAGACTTTTTAGATATAGGATTTCGCGCGCTACCGACGTCAGCGCAATATATTCCGCTTCGGCGGTTGATAAAGCAACTAGCGACTGCTTTCGCGCGCTCCACGCTACTGGAGATCCGTGCAACAGGACGATATAGCCCGATATTGAGTGTCGATGGGGCTGACTCGCCCAATCAGCGTCTACAAACGCTTCTAAACCTTGATTTGTGGTTCCTAGGGTAAGTTTTGAATTCTTTGTCCCCTTTAGATAGCGTATGACTCGTTTAGCAGCTTCCCAGTGCGCACTAGCTGGCTCTCGCATGAACTGCGAGAGTATCGAAACAGCGAAGGCTATATCTGGACATGTGCTCGTCGCAGCATACATTAGCGATCCAATGGCCTGTTGATACGGTACGTGTTGTTCGGGTATTTCAGGTTTGGTGTCTGGTGAATGGTCTGATGACTCTTTCGTTAGAACTACTCCAGTTTCCATTGGTGTTTGCGACGTTGTCGCATCCTTCATCCTGAATCTCTCGACTATAGTGTCGATGTATGCTTCTTGCGACAACATTATGGTCCGCGCCTTTCGGTCCCTTTCAACCTTTAGTCCTAGGAGCCAGGTAAGCTCTCCTAGGTCCGAAATCTCAAAACGTTTACAAAGCTGATCTTTGAACTTTTGGATGTGCTTTAGGTGTTTTGATGTGATGGCCATGTCGTCGACGGAAACGGTGATAACGGTATGTTCTTCTTCGGCTTGTCGATAGTATACGGCTTGGTCGACTTGAGAGCGCGTGAAGTCATTACTGAGGAAAAATTCTTCTAGCTCCTCGGACCATTCAAAACCGGCCTGCTTTAGGCCATATAAGCTACGCAATAGCTTTAATACCTTTCCTTCGTCTCCTTCGTTCAAGTATCCTGGCGGCGCGCACATATATATGTCGTCGTTGAGCTTGGCATTGAGGTAAGCACTTTTAACATCGACTTGATGTATTTCCCAGTTGTGCTTAGCTGCCATCGTTAGGACAGTATGAATTGTCGTCATACTTGAGGTAGGTGCGAACGTCTCTTGATAGTCTACGCCGTACTCTTGGCGCTGACCATTTGCGACAAGTCTCGCACGCAGCTTTACCTTCTCGCCATTTGGTCCACGCTTTGTCGCTAGGACAAAATGGCAAGGTATTATATTCGCGCCTTTAGGTGGGTCCACAATTTCCCATGTCTTGAGTTTCTCTAATTGACCAATCTCATAGTCTATGGCTTGTTGCCATTCCTCTGCGTCTGGTCCATTTAACGCTTCTCTAAGCGTCGGTTCCTTCTCTGCGGCTGCCATGGCCATATATGGAAAAGAATTCGATTGAGTGTTGTCCGGTGAGTTTTCCATTGCTATGGTTGCTCTTTCTCCTTCATTTAACGCTTTGTAGTATCCTGCAGGGGGTCGTACTCTCGTGGTTCTGGGCGTTATTGGGTCTGGAAGTTGCTGTGTACTCTGGGGTGGCGTTTTGGGAGGTTGGCTTGGTGTTTGTGGGACTTGGGATGTTGCAACGGGCTGGACGATATTCGGTATGTTGATCTGTTCTTCCTGGTTATACTCCCCCTCGTCCAGTATGTCGTTACGAACGATGACGTCCGGCGGGACAAAGCTAACATTGCGTTCGACAGATACTCTTCTCTTCTTCGGCCAGTATACTCGGTAAGCTTTACTTTCCTCGTCTATTCCCACAAATTGACCTTCTTCTGCTCTAGCTTCGAGCTTTCCTCCATCTGGTGAGTGCACATAGAGTCGTGCGCCGAATTCCCGTGCGTTTACTAAACTTGGTTTTGCTTTGTGTAGCAATTCAT